CAACCGCTTCTGGGCCTCCCCTAGGTCGACTCAGCCTCAAACGAGTAACTGCTGTGGTGTGTGAACATCGCCACTGGGGAGACAAAGGCGGCCGGGCGTGGTGGATCCAAGTCCCGAGCGAAGCCGGGTAGTAAAGCTAGTGTTTAAAATTAAAATGACAAAGATCTCCCCCGTGTAGCCTTTAACAGACTGTTGAGGCAAGTGCTGTTAGCGAGCACCTATGAAGGCCGGCACGGCACACGAGGAGGTGGGCGGCCAGTCGCGATGTTTACACACCACACCAGGTACTCATTTGAGGCCGAGTCGACCTAGGGCAGGTCCAGGACCGGTTCAGGTAATCGTCACTGATGTTGGCCGTGAGCAGGAGTTGAACTCGGTTTTCCAGGTTCGCAGCACTCCAACTGCTACACTACTGCTCCCCACTATGTAAATAATGTACACACACACGCTTGCAAAAATGTAATGAAACCAAACACACATGAGTTTGCACATGTTCAGCCTTTTGTCAAACCACTGCTGAATGAGAGCCTTCTCATGCAGTCTGGTTCGTGGGGGCTGTTTGACCATACTTCACTACACTGTTGGTGATGGTGGGGAGCATAGACGTGGGAGCATAGACATCCAGTACAACAATGGATTTTGCTGGACTGCATTCCGATTCCCACAACATATCCCCCCACTCCCCTACGCAGCTTATAATAAACCGTTGTGCATGGCGCTCGCCTATCCAAGCAACATCCAGGCTCAAAGTCCTGCTTAGATTTTGAGATCTGATGCGATCCGGGTGCATTCTGGGTGATTTTGCCATAGGTTTAAAACCAACGTGTCTGGGCTCCAATCATCTTCTGGACGTGTGTTGAACTTCTTTCGCACCGTACGTAGCCAATCGTGCCAAGCGGAGGTGCGGGGGAGGGGGAGCACAACAAAATAAAGACAAAAAAGCAGTTCTAAGAGAAATTAGTTTTCGATCTATCAAAGTCGACCGTCGGCCTAGACTTGTTCGGCGAGGGTTGGCGCGTTTCGCGAGCTCAGCCAATACCTTCGCAGTAGCGCAGCTTCTCTCTCAGGATCACCATGCCCCTCGTCAGGAGCTGCATCTGGAGGAGGAGGAGGTGGAGGAGACGACAGCCGGACGGACGGGAGAACAAAACAAAAAATTCCAACAAGGCTTTTCCCCGAGTGCGCTGGGCGAGCCTCGTATTTTGAACGAATTTTAATTTAAGAGTGCGATGGGAAAACTAAATCACTGCTGAATTCGCAAATTAAATTACAATTCGAATCATGTCATTCAATCATAATTAGCATAATTTCATCAGCATTGCCATCAACATTCAGATACAATGCACACACACAAACACACGTTTTTTTTTCTATTTACAGCAATTCTGAAGCATCCCACCTCCTGCCAAAGCATTGTAACTCTCCTTAGAAACAAACATATCATAAACAAAACTATATCTCCCATACACAGACTACCGGGGCAATTGGTGGTCAGCAAACACCCAAGTAATGCCGGCACAGCACAAGAAGGGGGCGATACGGCAAACACCGCACGTGGCCTGGCTCCCTTTGCCAATGGCTTCTTGCCCTGTGTGCCGAATGGTGAGAAAGAGCCTTCTGCTCGTACGTAACTTATGGCAAGAAAATATATGCTGCCTAATAAAAAGATCTAGATTAAAAAAACGTTGGAATAGAGTGAGCGTCCCTATTTCATGTTGGGACGTTCCATTTGTATAACGTGAAAAAAATAACAAATCATTCACAGGCCATTATCAATCCACTGCTGGTTGAAGGCCTCCCCATGTCATATCCATGTGGGGAATGATTAACCATACTTCACCCTGCTGGTCAGTGTGGGTTGGGGAAGGCCCAGGAATCGGTGAAGATACCACTCACAAACCGATATTAGCCGTAGCCTGGAATTGAACTCAGGTGGCCGGGTTCGTGGTGCAACGATTTCCAACCCTACCGCTTCAAGCGACGGCGCTGGCAACGCTCGCTCTTCAAATACAAATAAATAAAAAAAGTCGAGTCGAAAAATTTTGTTTTGTTCTAACATTTCACCAAGCGGTACGAGATTCGGTTTGGATATAGGTTTGTGGTAATGGGGTTTTAAAAGAGTCAGCGTGAAGCCTACATCAGTAGGGTAGGCAGGTGTGATCGTGGTTAAATTTCGATTTGAAGCTTTCGTGACTGCAAGGATTCATCTTCTTTGGTTCTTTCGGTAAAGTCACGTAGAATGAGAATAAAATAATACATTAATAAAATAACACAATAAAATTCTCACGACGTTTCGGCCACAACACAAGCGGCCTTCATCAGGTGAAGGGACGAGACTGTCTCGAGGACAGCTTGGCTGTGTTCGCTCCAGCGCTGTCCTCAAGACAGTCCCGTCCCTTCACCTGATGAAGGCCGCTTGTGTTGTGGCCGAAACGTCGTGAGAATTTTATTGTGTTATTTTATTTTATTAATTTATTATTTTATTCTCATTCTACGTGACTTTAAGAAGAAGAAGGTGTGATCGTGTGCAAACCACCGCGCCACCACTCCACCCCCACGCGGCCCCATAGAGCCGGCATACATTGTCAATTATTGTACACTCCTAAGGCACGGTGGTAAACCGAGTTGCACAATTACCAGCGCTCGCAGCAGATGGTGTCAGGTTAACAAGTTTTTACAGCAATTAAAGCTGAACTGCCCAAGGTCAACATTGACGCTAAAAAACGGTCAACATTTGACTTGGGGGGAGGAGGGGGAGGAGAGGGGGGGGAGGTCTCCGCGTTGGTTATGCTGTCACACGGCGGGAACTATCACAGACGCCGTGCGTTGAAATTCACGCGTTACCCTGGGTCGCTGAATATCCCCTGTAACTGAAGCGAGACGTTGCTTCAGATATTCATGGCAAGGTCACGGGCATTTGGGCCGCTTCTCAGCGTCGCCTCCATCCACGCGTACGCACGCACGCACAGACACACACACGTGCGCCAACCCGTGGAACCAGGGCCAGCATTCCGTTGCAGGCCAAAAGGAATTCATCAGTGTCACGCAGCCATTTAGCAAACTGTGTCCCCGTACAGCTGAATCATTTGCAAAATGCTGACCGCCGCAGGCCGCCCTTCCAAAAGGGGGGCGAAACCAAGTAGAGATGTAAGAGGGCTAGGAGTTGAGCTGCACGGCGACGGAGGCAGCGTAGGGTCCCCGACACTGCGCGACGATTCACCGATGTTTGTCGGGCTCGCGTGCGCTCCGGCACCGTCCGATGAAAATTGCGGTGGTGCCCGGTGGATTACAAGAGCCGCACGGTTATCTCACAAGCCGAGGCATTTGCTTCTGTCGCGTGACAGATGTTCGTCGCTCCCGCTACTCCCGACGGAGTTATCCAGCTCGGCCACGTCAGGGTCAAATTACAGCTGTTACTCTAGAGCAGTGCTCCTCAAACTCTTTTGGCCCACGGACTGCTCAGCCGACGCGAACATTCACACGGGCCACCCAGCGCCCCCCTTACCCCTGGTGACCAAACGCATTCACTTATCTCTCTAAATGCCAGTCATGCAAAATGATTCATGTTACTGGAATATAAAAAAATATGAAATTACGCAGCTATAAGGTTTTGTTTCGGGCGGGGAGGGGGGAGGGACATTTAGATCTTAGGGTCAGGGTAAGATTAATCCGGCTAGTTTACCCAACTCAATTTTTTTTTTATTAAATATAATGAGTCAAATATTAATTAATGTCCAAAACAAAAGGCGGAGACGTCGTCGTTATTGTCCGGAACAACCTGGGGTCACAGCCACCGTGGACCACCTGGGGGAGCGTCGCAGATCACTGCTGGCGGTCTGGGGACCGCACTCGGAGAACCGCTGCTCTGCCTTTCGGTAAAAATCGCGTCGATAGGTTCAAAGAAAATATCTACGTGACTTTACCGAAAGACCCAAGAATATGAAATCCTGCAGTCACGAAAACTTTAAGTCAAGATTTAAGGAGGATGAAGAAGAGGAAGGAAGAGGAGGAAGGAGGGGAAGGAAGAAGGACATTCCCATGAATGACTATCGAAACATTCTGTATCCTTCCAACAGCCAGGGAGGTTTTCCTTCACAGCAAGCGTCAACTCTCACGGAGCGAGGGTTCACGGAGACGCGCGAGTCGGCCGAGAGTGTCTCTTTGCAAGGCAGCCACACTCACCGTAACAAAACGTACACAGACGCAGACACAAAGATCCCCCGTACAGCCTGAACAGACTGTAGGGGCAAGTGCTGTTAGCGAGCACCTATGAAGGCCGGAACGGTACACGAGGGGGGTGGGTGGCCAGCACCACGCCCAACCGACTTAGTCTCCCCAGTGGCAATGTTTACACACCGCACCAGGTACTCATTTGAGGCTGAGTCGACCTAGGGGAGGCTCGGGCCCAGTTCAGATAATCGTCACTGGTATTGGCCGTGAGCGGGAATCGAACCTGTGTCGTCGGGTTCATAGCGCAGCGCGCTAACCGCTACACTACCACTCCCCACTCAGACACACGCACGCAGACACACGCACGCAGACACACGCAGACACACGCACGCACACGCACGCACACTCGCAGACACACACACACGCACGCGGGTGTACGTGCATGCAGGTGCACCTTAAAATAGTCGAGAATGAGCGGGCCCACGTGAGACTTCAATAAATGCCTGCAGGGGGCAAGGGTTTGGATTTGGACGGGGGGAGGGGGGGGTGAGAATGTGGGTGAGGGAGGGGATGCGCAGGGTAATGGGTAAACCACAAGTGAAGGCAGTGATGAGTTAATACGCAAGCTGGTCACACACAATGTCGGCGTGCGATGATTCACCCACGGCCGCCCTCCCACAATTCTATTTGCAAATGGATTAGTTTTTTTATTACGTTATTCTCATAAAAAACATTCTTGAAAACGACCGTTTTGAGCCTCATTCCCCATATTTTAAACTTCGAGCGCGCCGTCATGGTCACGTCGGGCGGCGAAGCATCGGCGCGGATTGCTCCGCGTCTCGTTCAGCACTCCCTGGTTTCGGTTAGTCTCGTTCATCCCCGTCGACCTCACGATGCACTCGCTGCGTGACCTGCGGGCAATGTGTTCACACGTCTTGTGAGCGTTCTCTCACGACGCCTGGCTTGGTGTGATGCTGCTTCGTTGAATAATTGAAATTTTGCGTGGTGCCATATCTTTACCGATCACCACCACCACCACCAGCTCCCCCCACCACCACCCCCCCACCACTCCTCGCCACCCCCCACCAGAAAAAGACAAAGATCCCCCATTAAGCCTGAACAGACTGTTAGCGAGCACCTATGAAGGCCGGCAGGACACACGATGGGGTGGGTGGCCAGCACCACGCCCGACCACCTTTGTCTCCCCAGTGGCGATGTTTACTACGCACCGCACCAGGTACTCATTTGAGGCCGAGTCGACCTAGGGGAGGCCCAGGACCAGTTAAAATAATTATTCGTCACCGGTGTTGGCCGTGAGCGGGAATCAAACCCGGATGTGCCGGGTTCGTAGCGCTAACCGCTGCACCACCGCTCCCCTCCACCACCCCCCCAACGCCCCACTGGGGAGGGGTCGCCCTTGAAAGAGAGCTGGCGAGCTCAACGGACTTTGCCCCGGGGATCCCAAAAATAAATTCCACGGTTTGATTTTAATTCGCGTCTATCGGAACGAATCGACGACTCTCGCGCCTGCACGATGCCGCGTGCGTGGCACGGCCGGCGGCGCTCAGGGTGCAAAGAGAGGGCAACTTGATGAACGTTCGGGCAGGTATCCCTCGCAGCTTGGACTTCACTCTACAGGCGGCTATGCAGTCGGAAGTTGGACAACACTCTGTGTGCACTGTGTGTGCGAGTACTAAGTACTGCGTGTGCGTACTGTGTAGTGTGAGTACTGTGTATATGTGCTGTGTGTGTGTGTACTGTGTGCGTACTGTGTGTACTATGCGTGTGCACTATGCGTGTGCACTATGCGTGTGTACTGTGTGAGTACTGTTTGTGTGTACTGTGCGTGTGAGTACTGTTTGTGTGTACTGTGTGTGTGTACTGTGTGTGTGTACTATGCGTGTGCACTATGCGTGTGCACTATGCGTGTGTACTGTGTGAGTACTGTTTGTGTGTACTGTGTGAGTACTGTTTGTGTGTACTGTGTGTGTGTACTGTGTGTGTACTGTGCGTGTGTACTGTGTGTGTACTATGCGTGTGTACTATGTGTGTACTATGCGTGTGTACTGTGTGAGTACTGTTTGTGTGTACTGTGTGTGTATTGTGCGTGTGTACTGTGTGTGTACTATGCGTGTGCACTATGCGTGTGCACTATGCGTGTGCACTATGCGTGTGTACTGTGTGAGTACTGTTTGTGTGTACTGTGTGTATAGAGTGCGTGTGAGTACTGTTTGTGTGTACTGTGCGTGTACTGTGCGTGTGTGTACTGTGTGTGTGTGTAGTGTGTGTGTGTACTGTGTGAGTACTGTTTGTGTGTACTGTGTGTGTACTCTGCGTGTGTATTGTGTGTGTACTATGCGTGTGTACTGTGTGTGTACTATGTGAGTACTGTTTGTGTGTACTGTGTGTGTACTGTGCGTGTGAGTACTGTTTGTGTGTACTGTGTGTGTACTATGCGTGTGTACTGTGTGAGTACTGTGTGTGTACTATGCGTGTGTACTGTGTGAGTACTGTTTGTGTGTACTGTGTGTGTACTGTGCGTGTGTACTGTGTGTGTACTGTGCGTGTGTACTGTGTGTGTACTGTGTGTGTACTGTGCGTGTGTACTATGCGTGTGTACTGTGCGTGTGTACTATGCGTGTGTACTGTGTGAGTACTGTGTGTGTGAGTACTGTTTGTGTGTACTGTTTGTGTGTACTGTGCGTGTGTACTGTGTGTGTACTGTTTGTCTGTACTGTGTGTGTACTGTGTGTGTGTACTGTGTGTGTGTACTATGCGTGTGTACTGTGTGAGTACTGTTTGTGTGTACTGTGTGTGTACTGTGCGTGTGTACTGTGTGTGTACTGTGCGTGTGTACTGTGCGTGTGTACTGTGCGTGTGTACTGTGCGTGTACTGTGCGTGTACTATGCGTGTGTACTGTGTGAGTACTGTTTGTGTGTACTGTGTGTGTACTGTGTGTGTGAGTACTGTTTGTGTGTACTGTGTGTGTGTACTGTGTGTGTACTGTTTGTGTGTACTGTGTGTGTACTGTGCGTGTGTACTGTGCGTGTGTACTGTGCGTGTGTACTGTGCGCGCTACTCGGCAGGCAGCTGTCTCCTTGCGCCGTTTCTCTTTCTGCGCCCTATTTTTTGGGAAAGCATCTACTACGCTGCCGCATCGAGCGAGGGAACCTGCAGAGGGCCGCAGCTAACCGGTAGCTCTTGACTCTCGACACTGTCAATCGTCTCCGACTCCAACCCGATCCGTATAATCGTCCTCATCGTCACGATCATCCTCATCACAGTCCTCCTCATCGTCATCACCATCGTCGTCACCATCATCCTCATCATCGTCCTCCTCAACGTCATCCGTATTCCTCATCTCAAGGGGGGCGGGTAGCTCTTTTTCAGAAGCAACCTGGCCACAACATGATAGCTTAACGAAGTGGCTTATCATCAAGTGGAAAAATTATAGCAGCCAAATAATCTAAATGCGTGTTTCTAAATAATGGAGGGAAAACCGGAGGACCCGGAGAAAAATCCACATGACCATGGGGAGACATCGCAAACTCCAAATATATAACAGGCATCAGGGTCGGGATCGAACCCACGACCTCCCGCATACCAGGCGAGGGAATTAACATCTCGCCAATTCTTCGAGCGCCCACCTGCCCCTCCATTCGAGTGGCGGCCCGTGCGTGTGGTGGTGAAGGATTGTGGTGAGGAGTTGTGGTGGTGAGCCACTTGAGCCGCGTGGCCACCGACCTCGCCACTCACCGGACTTTCTCCGTCAACACGAAAAGCTCGTTGTCCTTCAGGCCCTTGCGGGAAAACACGGCCACGACCCGTTCCTGCACACTGTGACACACGCACACAGACAAAGATCCCCCGTGTAGCCTTAACAGACCGTTTGGGCAAGTGCTGTTAGCGAGCACCTATGAAGGCCGGCACGACACACGAGGGAATGAGAGGTCAGCGCAACGCCCGGCCGCCTTTGGCTCCCTAGTGGCGATGTTTACACACCACTCCAGGCACTCATTTGATGTTCAATCAACATAGGAGAGGCCCAAGAACGGTTCAGATAATCGTCACCGATGTTGGCTATGAGCAGGAATGAAACCCGGGTCATAGTGTTCGCAGCGCAGCGCGCTAACCGCTACACTCTCGCTCCTCACACACGCACACTGTGACACGCACGCATACACACATACATGAACCCAGCGCACGTCAGTGTGGGGATTATGTCCACTGCAGAATTTGATAGTGGCACTGAGTGTGTGCGCGTCTTTGTCTCGTTGTAGGGGGGAGCAAGTGTCGTAGTTAGCACGCTGCGCTATGAACCCGGTGACCCGGGTTCGATTCCCACTCATGGCCAACGCCACTGATGATTATCTAACCGGTCCTGGGTCTCCCCTCGGTCGACTCAACTTAAAATGAATACCTAATGCGATGTGTAAACATCAACACCGTTGAGACAAAGGCGGCCGGGTGTGGTGCTGGCCACCAACCCTCTCGTGTGCCGTGCAGGCCTTCATAGGTGCTACTCGCTAACAGCACTTGCTCCAAACGTCCGTTAAGGCTATACGGGGGATCTTTGTATTGTGTGCGTGTGTGTGCTCGTCTGCCCATGTACAAAAAGACCGTCTTCCTAAGCAGGACTCTTTTCACACGATTGACCCAGCACTGGCACACACACACGCACACTGGCACACAAAGATAAGGATCTCCCGAATAGCCTTAACATACTGTAGGGGCAAGTGCTGTTAGCGAACACCTATGAAGACCGCACTGGCATACAACAACAACAACCGCCATTCGCCACTAAGTGGCGGCGACGTCACCACGACGCTTGTGCCAGGCTAGGTGCACCTTGCGGCCACGTGAAGTGTCGACCGCCCGCTGGCAGGAGGTCACGGGGCAGACCCAGCAGGTGCCACGGCTCGAATGACCGAGTCGACTGGCTGATGCACCACCTGTGCCCCCCACTGTGCCAACTTGCTGGCACAGTGGGGGGCACACGCACACACTGTACACGAACACTATACATAGCATATGCACGAGATGTGGTCAACTTAGTTGTGAATAAAATCACAGCGATCAAAGAGGCATTTGGTTTCGCGTTGATTTCTCGCTCGCTGGAGGTCCCCGTGAAGACGTGGGAAAACGTAATTGTGGCTTTATTAAGCATCAGGTTCGGTAACTGTGCTTATTATTCGCGTAAGTTGAGAATATCTTGCGGATCTTTCCGGAGCGAATCTTTTTCTTTACATAGCTGCCACTACTGGCATCATGTGCTGTGATATGCTCCTCGTTTTTACATCATCAGCGTCCGGATTGTAATGGGTCCGTGATTGGGTGGAATCTGTCACACGTAGCTTATATTCACTTAAAGCCAATTCATGAAATAGGCAGTTACTTAAATGTAAATGGGCATTTTTATTCTGCTCACGAGTAACACACTGTGTGTTCCAAAGGGTGTACACATTTTAATATCGATTTGCAACCACGTAAAAACTAATTTCATTGCACACTTATTCCAATTAAAATAATAAAAGTGTTTTGGAAATACGCTTATACATACACTTGAGTTGCAATGAGTTCACGATTCAACTTTACAACAATATCCCAACAATTGCAAAGTACAAATACCATCATCACGGTGAACAAACGGGTTCTGGCACAGAACGTGCCTCCTTCACTACACACTGCTATCTCAAGTCTTCCCCTCGCAGCGCATCGGAACGCTGTATGGGAATGTGGCCAAGGATTAGATTTGTGCCAAAAGTTCTCAAAGACCCCTGCATTGGGTGCACACGCGTGGTGGGTACGGCGTGGAGCACAACGCGTGGTGGGTACAGCGTGGTGGGGTACAACGTGGGGCACACGTGCGCCAACACGTTCAACCATCTCGCCCGCGCCGGTCATCCTCTGCGCGATTCCGTCAGCTGCCTCACCTCCCTCCACCGGCTTCATATGATCGCCAGCAGGGTCGGCTACAACATCTCCTGCCCCGTGCACTCCACGCTCACGGTAGAACGCTAAGAGAGTGGAACGTGACGGAAGCGGTGGCTTTATCATGAGCATTTTCTCCAGCTGTTGGGCGCTCAGAGCTCCCGTTGAATTGGTCTACTGGAGCCCTTCAGTGGTGCAGCATCATCAGTATTCATCGCTCACCGCCTCCATGTTCCATTCATCGATTAATCCACGTTGCACGCATCAACTGACACGGGTTCGGAGCCCTAATCAACCTGAAGTGCTCCACAAAGCAGGCTCAACAGGGGAAAGCTAAATAAATCAGCTGCTGTCTTTAGCGGTGATAGAATCAAGTAAGCTAGCCTACTGTGGTCATGTCATGAGAAAAAAATGGAACTTGTTTGGAACAGCAGATTATCTAAGGCACAGTGCCCGGTTCACGTGCGCGAGGAAGACGAAGGATGACAATGGATGGATGACATCAACGCATGGGCGAGGCTCGCGCTGGAACAGACAGCGAGGACGGCACAAGACGGGAAGTCAGTGGCGAAGAGGATTGCCCATGGTGCGACCAACCCCTTGCGTTGGGGCAAGACGAGACGAGCTCTTGATAAATCTTGTAGCCACGCAAACCAATGCGGCCGCGTTGTTCCTGCGCTGTCGCGCAAGCGCAGTTTTAGGCGGAGTTCTAATGGGCGATGCAACACGATAGGCGTTCAGAATCACAGTCAGGAGCAAAAACCTGCAGCGACTTCTTGCTCCCCGCATGCTCTGGAAAAGAGCGTCACTCAATTACGACGACAATCGCTTATCGCAACAGCCCCGCGGGTCTACGCCTGCCAGCGCTGCACCTGCTCGGCACCAGCGGGTTTTGTATCTCCGGGCTTTAAATCTTCCACGTTGCTCTCCAATCATTCTCAATGCGCTCTCGCCGAATTCGTTGCGCCGTCCCTGAACTCGGACTCGGTCCCTGGCCAAGGGGGAGTGCGGCGCCACGGGAGTTGTCGGCGATCCCTTCCCCACGCCTATCAGACCCTCCGAAGCTCGGTGCGCGAGACCTCCCACGTCCCGTCCGAGCAACATCTGCCCGCATCAAGGATATGTCGACGGCGAGTAGGGCTGTCGTGTCCACCACCACCACTGCCTCGCCTCCCTCACCTCACCTGCCTTCGCTTCAACCCGGACTCTACCCTCTTCGCTACGGCCTCCACAGCATTTCCCATCTCCGCACAACCCTCGCCTCCAAAACTCCAGACGATACAAAATGCCATTTTCACCCGCGCACGTAAAATGTGACTCAGATCTCTCCACTGGCTCCCAATCCAATCCAGGATCAATGTCATCATCGCCCCTCACTGTCTCCAATATCCTCCCTCCCCTGCCCATCTCTTCCCTCTCATCTCACTCTACTCCCCTCCACTCACTCTCCTACCTCTCCCTACTCTACACACTCTCCTACCTCTCATCTCACCCTCCTCTCCTCCACGCACTCTCCTACCTCTCCTCCTACTCTATACCCTACTCTACACACTCTCCTACCTCTCCCCTCTCATCTCACCTCTACTCCCCGCCACTCACTCTCCTACCTCTCCCCTCTCATTTCACTCTCCTACCTCTCCCTACTCTATACCCTCCTCAACACACTCTCCTATCTCTCCCTACTCCACGCACTCTCCTACCTCTCCCCTCTCATCTCACCCTCCTCTCCTCCACGTACTCTCCTACCTCTCCCCCTACTCTATACCCTACTCTCCTACCTCTCCCCTACTCCAGACACTCTCCTACCCCTCCCTCTACTCCAGACACTCTCCTACCTCTCCCCTACTCCAGACACTCTCCTACCTCTCCCTCTACTCCAGACACTCTCCTACCTCTCCCCTACTCCAGACACTCTCCTACCTCTCCCTCTACTCCAGACACTCTCCTACCTCTCCCCCTACTCCAGACACTCTCCTACCTCTCCCCCTACTCCAGACACTCTCCTACCTCTCCCCTACTCCAGACACTCTCCTACCTCTCCCTCTACTCCAGACACTCTCCTACCTCTCCCCTACTCTATACCCTACTCTCCTACCTCTCCCCCTACTCTACACACTCCCCTACCTCTCCCCCTACTGCAGACACTGTGCTACCTCTCCCCTACTCTCCTACCTCTCCCCCTACTCCAGACACTCTCCTACCTCTCCCCCTACTCCAGACACTCTCCTACCTCTCCCCTACTCTATACCCTACTCTCCTACCTCTCCCCCAACTCCAGACACTCTCCTACCCCTCCATCTACTCCAGATACTATCCTACCTCTCCCCTACTCCAGACACTCTCCTACCTCTCCCCCTACTCCAGACACTCTCCTACCTCTCCCCTACTCTATACCCTACTCTCCTACCTCTCCCCCTACTCTACACACTCCCCTACCTCTCCCCCTACTCCAGACACTGTCCTACCTCTCCCCTACTCTATACCCTACTCTCCTACCTCTCCCCCAGCTCCAGACACTCTCCTACCTCTCCCCCAGCTCCAGACACTCTCCTACCTCTCCCCCAGCTCCAGACACTCTCCTACCTCTCCCCTACTCCAGACACTCTCCTACCTCTCCCCCAGCTCCAGACACTCTCCTACCTCTCCCTACTCCAGACACTCTCCTACCTCTCCCCTACTCCAGACACTCTCCTACCTCTCCCCCTACTCGGTACCCTACTCTCCTACCTCTCCCTACTCTACACATCCCCCTACCTCTCCCCCTACTCCACACAATGTCCTACCTCTCCCCTACTCTATACCCTACTCTCCTACCTCTCCCCCTACTCCAGACACTCTCCCTACCTCTCCCCTACTCTACACATCCCCCTACCTCTCCCCCTACTCCACACAATGTCCTACCTCTCCCCTACTCTATACCCTACTCTCCTACCTCTCCCCCTACTCCAGACACTCTCCTACCTCTCCCCTACTCTACACATCCCCCTACCTCTCCCCCTACTCCACACAATGTCCTAACCTCTCCCCTACTCTATACCCTACTCTCCTACCTCTCCCCCTACTCCAGACACTCTCCTACCTCTCCCCTACTCTACACATCCCCCTACCTCTCCCCCTACTCCACACAATGTCCTACCTCTCCCCTACTCTATACCCTACTCTCCTACCTCTCCCCTACTCCAGACACTCTCCTACCTCTCCCCCTACTCCAGATACTCTCCTACCTCTCTCCTACTCCAGACACTCTCCTACCTCTCCCCTACTCCAGACATTCTCCTACCTCTCCCTCTACTCTCGACCCTCATCCCCCCCAGTCGACCTTCGACCCCAGCGGGGGGGGGGGGGGGGGTCATTCTCCCGTGCTGTCCGCGCGACCTCTAACCCCCCCACCTAACCAGGGAGACGTCCACAGCCTTCCCCTGCCCTCTTGTCCTCTATGACCGAAGTCCTCCCCTCCCTGCGATCTGCACACAGCCACACAGCAGTTACCTCTACCCAGTGATGTCCATTGCAAAGCCGCGCGCGGTCACCCCCCCCCGCCCCCCATCATCATCGTGGTGCTGTAGTCTCACCCTCCCCCGCCCCCCCACCAATGGTTTCAACCGCGTGTCGGCCCCTCACGCTGACGATGTCTTATCGGTGAACGTGCCGCCCCACCGCCCTGCTCTGAAAGCGAGTGAAGAAGGACGCTGCCCTACTTCGCTGTGCCCCATCACAGTGGCGCGCCGCAGCCACATCCCCGCCTCGGGCTCCTTGCGCCGCCGAGGGCTATTCGCTCATCCCCCGCCCCCCTGCCCACAACACCGCACTGACTACATTGACTGAAGTATGGCCATATGATCAAACGTCAACCCCGGCCACCCCACCAACCAACGTCCTCAACTCCCATAAACAAACACGACGCCCGGTTGAGCGCTGACCGACGCACCCACCCCCCCCTCTCACCTGTCCCCCCCCCCTCTCACCTGTCCCCCCCCTCTCTCACCTGTCCCCCCCTCCCCTCTCTCACCTGTCCCCCCCCCTCTCTCACCTGTCCCCCCCCCCTCTCTCACCTGTCCCCCCCCCTCTCTCACCTGTCCCCCCCCTCTCTCACCTGTCCCCCCCCCTCTCACCTGTCCCCCCTCCTCACCTGTCCCCCCCTCTCTCACCTGTCCCCCCCTCTCTCACCTGTCCCCCCCTCTCTCACCTGTCCCCCCCCTTCTCTCACCTGTCCCCCCCCTCCCCTCTCTCACCTGTCCCCCCCCCTCTCACCTGTCCCCCCCCCTCTCACCTGTCCCCCCCCCCCCCTTTCTCACCTGTCCCCCCCCTCTCTCACCTGTCCCCCCCCCTCTCTCACCTGTCCCCCCCCCCCTCTCTCACCTGTCCCCCCCCTCTCACCTGTCCCCCCCCCCTCTCACCTGTCCCCCCCCTCTCTCACCTGTCCCCCCCTCCCCTCTCTCACCTGTCCCCCCCCTCTCTCACCTGTCCCCCCCCTCTCTCACCTGTCCCCCCCCCCTCTCTCACCTGTCCCCCCCCCTCTCTCACCTGTCCCCCCCCTCTCTCACCTGTCCCCCCCCCTCTCTCACCTGTCCCCCCTCCTCACCTGTCCCCCCCTCTCTCACCTGTCCCCCCCCCCTTCTCTCACCTGTCCCCCCCTCCCCTCTCTCACCTGTCCCCCCCCTCTCACCTGTCCCCCCCCCTTTCTCACCTGTCCCCCCCCTCTCTCACCTGTCCCCCCCCCTCTCTCACCTGTCCCCCCCCCTCTCTCACCTGTCCCCCCCCCCTCTCTCACCTGTCCCCCCCTCTCTCACCTGCCCCCCCTCTCTCACCTGCCCCCCCTCTCTCACCTGTCCCCCCCTCCCCTCTCTCACCTGTCCCCCCCTCTCTCACCTGTCCCCAACCCCTCTCTCACCTTTCCCCCCCCTCTCTCACCTGTCCCCCCCCTCTCTCACCTGTCCCCCCCCTCTCTCACCTGTCCCCCCCCTCCCCTCTCTCACCTGTCCCCCCCCCTCTCTCACCTGTCCCCCCCCTCCCCTCTCTCACCTGTCCCCCCCTCCCCTCTCTCACCTGTCCCCCCCTCTCTCACCTGTCCCCCCTCTCTCACCTGTCCCCCCCCCCCTCTCTCACCTGTCCCCCCCCTCTCTCACCTGTCCCCCCCCTCCCCTCTCTCACCTGTCCCCCCCCCCCCTCTCTCACCTGTCCCCCCTCCCCTCTCTCACCTGTCCCCCCCTCCCCTCTCTCACCTGTCCCCCCCCCTCCCTCACCTGTCCCCCCCCTCTCTCACCTGTCCCCCCCCTCTCTCACCTGTCCCCCCCCCTCTCTCACCTGTCCCCCCCCCTCTCACCTGTCCCAGGTGATCTCCGATCCCGGCTGCGGATGCCCCGAGAGGGAGGCGCGCTCCTCCTGGAGGCACGGCGTCAGGTCGTAGCGGAACACCTCGCCTTGCAGGTTGGGCGAGCTGCGGTACTTGGGTCTCCGCATGGAGCCCATGATGGTGGTGGCGATGTTGGTGGGTGGTGGCGATGATGCCGTGCAGGAGCAGACCCGATCCTGAGCCTTTCCTCTGTCTACGAGAGTCCTAGGGAAACCCTTCCCCAACTATCACAACCTCCCCAACTATCACAACCTCCCCAACTATCACAACTTCCCCAACTATCACAACCTCCCCTATCTAGGGGAGCAGGTTGGGGGGGTGTCCGACTGAACCCTATCTCTTAAACCCCCTTCTCGAGGCGGAGTGAGTGGTGGCGTCCGAGCGAACCCGCAACTCTCACACACCTCTCTGTGGATCTTAGTGGGAGTCCACTCTCCTCTTACAGGCCTCCCCTCTCTTGTAGGTCCAAATGAACCCCCCTGCTGTGCCTAACCCCCCCCCACCTCCACAATGTATGTGCTGCGCGTGAGTCCTCCGAGTCAATCTCCACAGCCTCCCCGGCCGCACGGTCTCAACAGTCGCTCGCATCCAACGTCCCCCTCCCCCCCTCCGGAGGTCGCTGTGACCGAATCCCGACACGTCTCGCTGTGCCGGAGCCGCGACGAAGGCTCAGCACCACCACCCCCGACCCCCCGAGCGCGTGGCGTTAACGTCCTCCTCGTGGCGTTGAAGTCCTCCTCGTGTCGCCCCCGCGGCAGCTGGCACCGAACGGGGCAGGAGTTGCGCGGCGAAGTCGAGACCCCCGTCGAAGACAAACGTACTTTGACCTTTGTCTCGAGAAGAGTGGCGGGGGGGGGGTTGTGATGAGGTTGTAAATCGAGCACGAACCACTAGCAACCACCAGCAGCAGCAGCACGAGAACTGCAACAACTACTACCAAACACCGACCACGCCTCCCCCTGGGCGTCCAGAAATCGATGCGTTCCGCCGCGTTGACGCTGGGAGGCGGTGGCGGCGAGATCCGAACCCAACCGGTCTTATTATCCACGGCCACATCGGAATGACGAGCGCACCTTGGAGCACTAGCGGGGCCGGTTTGAGCCGCATTCAGAATCCAACAATCGACCACCACCATTACCGCCGTCCCCCGTTCAATTGCATCCCGCGGGCGTTTGTCTCTGGACTGCTGTCTGTGCTACACTGCCGCGTGGACTATCCGGGTTGCACTCTGCCTACCCTGTTCCTGTTCTCTGTCGCACGAGCAATATACTGCGTTAACTCTCTTCACTGGGATATCTGCCGCTACGGGAATGCATGCAGTCTTCATTCTGAGCTACACTCCACTGTGCTCTCTTGTCGAACACCAACACTGGGCAAACACTACTACTGCCTGGGCAAATGCACGCCGCCTTCTGTGCTACACATTGCTTTTGCTCTCTACTCCGGTCCAACTCTCTGTTCTATGGGTAGCGTTGCTCTCAACTCTGATCTCTCCCTCCGTGCTACGCAATCTCCCCCTGGACACGTAGTACAGTTTTGCTTGCGTTGCTGGTACGAACGCGACTTGGCTGCGGTGCAAAAAAAAAACCCCGCCTATCTCTCTCCTCCTCCTCCTACTACTTACTCGGTGTTAGCCCGTGTGTACTCGGGCGTGAAGGCAAAACCAGGGCACGCAACGCGTACAGCACGGAACCAACCACGACGTAACAACAGCAGCAACATGAAGCGACAGCAGCCCGGCCACAACTTCACGCCGAGCTGTAGCTTTCAGGAGCGGCTTTGCGTAATTTCTCACCCGATTTTTTTTTATGGAACTCTGCGAGACTGACTTTTGGAGTGGGGATTATCGGCGTAAGGCACAGCTATCCGCAATAATCCGATATTACTGTGCCCTATGTTCCAATCATCCTATGAACAGGTTCATAGAAACACGCGGACACAAACGGTGAGATTGCGATGTGCCGAAATAATTACCGGACTGACGGCTGAAATTAAGCACCGTGTAATGATATTGGTTATTGGTGGTTGGTATTCAGAAGCAGGCGCCAAGAAGATTATGCGTATTGTGAAAAACGCGTGTCGCAAAGACCCCCCCCCCCCACCTCTATCACTGCCCTTCCACATTCTTACACTCCACAATACACACACACAGAGCCTTGTAAAAGCAACTATTGCGCCGGCTTTAAAGTAATGCGAGGGTTTGTTTGGAGAGCGAGAAGTTAGTTTCGTTGTCGAGAAAGGGAGTGGTAACTGTTGAAAAGTAATATCGCAGGAATCGCTTGGAGGTTAATGTCGCAATAAACCAATGCAAACATTCGCACAATACAGTGTTGAGATTATGGGGATTTGTAACGCGACTTAAAGTGGGGGTGGAGGGGGGAATCTTAATGACCTGTTCAAAATAACGAGCAGGGGGGGGAGAGAGACTTTTCACGGTACAATTAATATGTAATTGCTAAGCAACGATGAATGGAGAGCGAGCTGGCTGGCTGCCAAAGGCTTTGCTTCTACTTTTACAAATTAACACTGAGCAAATGTTTTTTTGTTGTTGAAACATCTGCCGTCGGTCGTATCGACGACACGTTTGTTCAAAGGGCCGCTCCCGAAAGGCTACTCGGGGGTGCACCGGCAAACACGGCCTCGAAAGAAAAAAAAGTTTGTAACTTAGTGACCCCCTTCCTACTGGGCCAATGTGTGAAAAAGAGCTTCATTGTGCATCGAATTTCTCCAGGACAAAAGTTTAAAATTCTGCCCAGCGAGGTTGCAAGAGGACAATTAACTCCCATCACATTAACTCGTTCGCCCACATGACGCGCTCAGCATTTAACGATGTCTGCGTCACGTGGAACACGTGAAGCACGTACACACACACTGGTATCTTAATCGGGTCGATTAAAGCGGACAGCGTAAATGGCCGATGCCACGTGGGACTTGTTTAACAATCATCGGGCGCGTTCAGCGTGGAACGACTTGTTTGGAATGGGAATACCATTCATACACGCGAAAATGCACGAAAGCGTGGTGGGTGGCGAAGACTGGAGTTTGGGAAACTCAAAGGTGTTTTCGTATAACGTCCAATAATTGCCTCAAATTGTGAACATTGATTTTAGCATTTTGGCCATGACTTAACGCACACCTCAGACAAGAGATATTTTAAATGTTGATCAATGATAAAAAAAATTCTAAAATGCACAGGCATGACTTGCTCAAATCTTAATACCATTTTATTGTCAACTATTTTAGGTACTCCGCAATGATCTGTTCCGCTAATTCCATTAATGTTTTACAGAGAAAACCAACAAACATGAGCGGATTACACTCAAAGGTCCACACGATTACTATGGGTTGAGGCCTTAAAATAGGCTTTCAACTTTAAATAACATTAAGTATTAGGAGAGTAATTAATAAACTTTCAAGGCATCACCACAATGAATAGAGATGTAAGTTATGACCAAAAACGCTTTTGATAGAAACACAATAGCCATAAGCCGAACCATATCCTATCTCCAAACAGAATGTCACCCCAGGCAAGAATTGTTCAAAGTCTTGCATTAATCAATGCCCATATTAAACCAAAAGAAAACACCCCAACAAATAAACCCCAGTTTGTTTTGCTTCTTCCAAGAGTCAAGTTTCCCACTGCAGCAAGCGAGGTCAGAACCTGCAGGTATCCCATTCAGAAAACAACCCAGCAGCGGAAGTGCCGACCTCGCATCCCGTTCCTTCCCCGAGCGACGCGATGTAAACAATCGCAGTGCTGCCCGCCACAACAGGAAAGGCGCGCTAAGAACCCCGGGGGGGGGGGGGGGGAAGCAACCGCGCCCTGCAAGCCAACGGGACGCACAAAATCAAGGCCAACTCAATATGAAAATCAATAATGTTGGCCGACTTTCTTGCGCTCCATTTATTCTCCATAATAAAATATTGCAGCGCGGGTCTTGGAAAGTGTTTTGAACCGGGATGAGTTTTACAACAGCGATATTTTTCGACACCGGCTTTTATAGTTTCAACAAGAGCAATAAACAAACGTAGTAGTAACGTGCCACTTGTTTTATTAGTACTCTCTCCCGCGACGGCGCGTTCGAGCAATTACTTGTGCATCAGGGATCGATACATATTAAACACTGTTGCAAGCAGGCCAACTCAAGTTAAGTTACGGCTTTAACACAAGCTCTCCATACCATGAAAACGCAACGACATGCATGAACAAAGTTAACGCATGTGAGTAATTCGGGCGAGGTAACCCCCCCCTATACACATTGTAATGAAGCTTAATGACACACAGAGGCTCAACATTTTCCAACAGTTCCCCAAATGGGAGTTTTTTTTAAACCTTTTATTTACAAATAATCATACGCCGTATGCAAACAAACAAAAAAACATGCACCTATAAAACACAATTTAGAAATGGTTACATCTTACAAAATGGAGAGAGAAAACGAAAGGCCCAGAAATTCACAGCAGACGAAAAGAATAGAAGCGGCTAGCAAAAAGTGTAATCGATCTGGATTCCCTTCATATCACATTCACAAATAAGAGCATTACAAAGACTACTAAGAACTGCTTTATTAAATAAGTACATGTACTCAAGCTTGTACGCCAGCTGGTAAAACCAACCTACTTTACACACAACTCTAATCGTGTTAGATATACAAATAATGTGCCACGATTAAACGGGAGCCCCGATGGGTCCTCGAAGGCTGCCAAGGGGAGTGAAGGTTGGTGACGTGACTGGAGTGGAGGGGGTGTGTGGAGGAGAGGCCTTGATCACGGTTCCAAAAACGTAGCTAACCAACCCAACGGTGCCGTTGCAGAAGAAAATAAAAGTCGACAAGGACGTACACAGCAACCGGAAAAGAATGGATTTAGTGAGAGAAGTGAGGCCCAGGGTCGGACCAATTTTACTGAACCACTATTGCCGTCCTTCAATAAAATCTCACCTATTTCAGAGTAACGGAGTACCTACCGAAAACTTTCAACATTTTGGCCTGTCGTTTTTCCTATTCGTGTGGTTTTTGCATGACACTCTGAATTGACGAAACTAAAAAATGGAATTAAAATAAATACATTTGTTTGGAAGGAGCCGAGAGAGTGGTTCTGCGGATTTCTGCTGCTCGTGGCCCAAGCAGGGCCGGGTGCGTAAAGGAGGGGGAAGTCTGCCAAGATGGTTAAGGGGGGGGCCTCTTGCGCTACTTCTTGTTCGCTTTGATCTGCTCCAGCCTCTTCTTGAGGTCCTCCAGGTTCTGGCTGGCGATGGGCCTGGGCGGTGGGAGTGTGGCGGCGTTGGGCTCCCGGTCCCACGCCTCGCGCAGGTGCGTCAACTTGGGGCCGAGGGGCTCGCACGAGGAGGACGACGATGCCAGCGAGGCGCTGCCCAAGAGGCCGCCGACGGACGTAAACCCCGTCCCGCCCGGCTTGCCAACCAAGCTGGAGGTCACGTCCTGAAGGAGCAGCGGGCGGGGGAGAGGGCACGTGGCAGGTTTGCGACGACAGCGGCAGCGATCGTTATAGAGCAGGGCGGTTCGTGCCGGCATGGGTACCGATAAAAAAGAAATTCAAGGCTTCCATGATACTGCCAAAAGAAAATGTTTGTAAAATTCGCAAATAACGTGCAGTATATACACATTCTCTATTAAGTCACGCTGTACATACTGCACATTAAGTAAACGAGAAGACGTTGTGTAGTATATATATTTATAAATGCACGAGTCTTTTGCAGAATGTAATGATTATTAAATGCAATAGAACACCATTACGGAGTAAAACAAATAATTGCATGCTTACTGGTACCTTATTCCAACCACCTTATTACAATGGATAAGCGGGCAAAACACACGTGGCTATTTTGCCAAGGAACCCCGATGTATGTGAGACTGCACCTTGGAGTTATCAAGGCCGCCCCGCTGCCGCAGGATCTTAAGGCGCTCCAGGTAGACGGCGGAGCCGACGGCGTCGTCACTGCCAATGCTCGTCGTGCTGGAGGAGAGCGATGCCGTCGGCAGCGACTGGGTCACTCCGTTTCCCGTGGAACCCACGAGCCCCGACGATGACGTCAGCCCGCCGCCCGGAGCTGCGACGAGGACAAAAACCGCCGCCGGGGCGCCCCACGCCGCGGCTCATCGTCACCGAGCCACTTCCGAGAGTCAAAGCGTAATTAATCGTAGCCGCTAAACAGCTCGTAAATTCACCCTTTCGCATTCGATTCCGCTCTGATGATGTGCACGTACGTACACATAAGTCATCATACACGTACATCATCGGAACCGGAAAAAATAAGTAAAGTCAAATAACTTTATCGTTTCTGAGGCTCCCACAAGGCCATGCGGAAGTGGCAGTTTGGCGCCAGCTATCGAAGAGTGCGGTCGTGGTCGCTACGGTTCTCTGCAGCGAGTGCAATATCTTCAAAAACAACGGCGCTATGCCTCTCTAAATAAAATTTACGCTCAACCGATTGCACGTTCCGAGATTCAGCAGTGAACGGGACTCCCACCCTGCAAATTTCAGTTGTCTCAGAACGGGAAAAGGTTAAATCTATTTTGCGCGAACAGTTTAATCCACTCGCTTTAGGTTGAGGGGTGCATTGATGAACCTATTAGCTACAGATCACGACATCTGACACACATTTCATTCACTTAAATTACATCAGGAAGACAATCATTAAGGCAAGTGTATCGATCACATCCAGATGTCATTTGGACTTTACCCAAAGAGGTCCCAGACGAGGGCGTCAGTTTGACCTTGCCGTCCCGTTCCATTTCGATGATTCTCAGTCCCCTCTCCACGTAGTTCTGGAAGAACTGGGAGGACTTGCGCAGGAAGGGCTCCAGGTCCGTCTCGGGGTACCTCTTCTTAAACTCGTACAAGTTTTCCAGGCCCTACGCACGCACCAACACGGGCACAGTGGCCCACAGCTATAACCCAGCGCTCTGCAGTCACGGCTTGGTGGATCGCACACAGTTTGCGAGACTCCAAAACTCCGCGAGGCTGCGAGATCGCCAAGAGATGGCACGACAGCAAATCGGCTTTGAGAATTCTTGTGTGCCAGGTACGTGTTTTTCTCTGGGTACTCTGTTTACTCCCACACTCAAAATTCTCCTTTAGTTAGTCAAGCATCCCAAAGCGGGACTCTCATGATACAGACTTGAGACTCATATGGATAAATACATTACATTTCTATACACGCACACTGCACCATCTACATATGAAACCAAATAACTACTTAAGCCTGCAACACTGGGGCCATTTATGCAGATGGAATTGGTTTCTTTCCAAATGGCATTGTATTTAAAATATGCAATTCGTATCGCAGCACACGATGCTTACACTTGTGCCATAATTGCAACGTGACTGACTGGTGGAAATGTGGTGTGCGTTGCCACAAATACCTCCGTCGTAGTTACAGTATACCCTTGTTAATTCGACACATATGGGGCGGCTCTGGCCTTGCCAAACTATCCAATATTCCGAATTATGTACAATGGTACTCCCCAGTGCCTTGTTCCCCAATACAAAAAAAAAATCCCAAGTTTTCCAAAAATTATTTTCTCCCGGGCCTTTCTTGATGTCGTAAAAGGTGCTTGATTTTATGTCAAACTCTTCACATACCATACGCATCGACACACACAATGATATCCCAAACTTTGGATTTGTCTCGCAGAACAAGGGATTTATACTTCAGTCCCTTTCTATTACTTCTTGATGGAGAGGCGTAGACGACATTTCTGAGAGGGTTGGCTTCTACAGAGTGCATAAACAATGTAAAGTCCAAAGCAACAGGTCTGCACGAACGCTCACCACGCGCACCGCCACTAGGCCGAGTCATTGTCATTGGCGCACGGCATCGCTCCACGTGTAGGCCGAAATTGGGCCATTCGGCTCATGGCAAATTACTAATACTGTATAGATGCCGAAAGCGCAGCCGTGCCAAATGATCCCCAATTAAGAATGATCAACTACTGAAATAACGAGGTTTTACTGTATTGGAAAACACACAGGGTTCAATGCTAGCCAATGAGAATGCGCTCACAGGTCGTCGGTACGAACCGCGCAAATTGTGCCAAGAAACCTTCCAAATATTGCGCACGAGACACCGACCTGTCTGGTGTTTTCTTTGGAACCAATCTTCTTGAAAATTTCTGCCATCAGGTCGTTGAGCTTCGCCGTGGACACTTTGTCCTCCTGTGGATGAAAATGGAAAAGACCCCCCCAAAAAAAAAATCGACATTATTTGTCCCAACAAAAAATGGCACAAATGTGTTTCTGCTTACGCCATGGCATTGCACAGTGTGTGTGTCTTTGGGGGGGGGGGGGGGGGAGGGTGGCACAGTGGGGGGTACAGCTGGTGCATCTACCAGTCATCTCAGTCAGACAACCCATGGCACCTGGGTCTGTCCCCAGACCTCCTGTCAGCGAGCCTTCGACACTTCACGTGGTCTTAAAGTGCACCTGGCCTGGCACATGCGCCATGTTGACGCCACCATCAGTTCGTCGCGAATGGCGGGTTTTGGTATTGGTGTGTTGGTGGTGTGGGGGGTGGGAGGTGGGGGGAGGAAGCTTGTGCCGGTTGATTTCTCACTTTTTTGCCAACTCCCTTCTCCTTTTCCATATCTGCCTTGCTAATCTCCATGTCCGTGTGCTTGGTCACCCTCTTCAGGAAGTTCTCCAGCTCTGACTCATCCTTATTCTCGATCATCCCTATGTGGTCCAGGATCTGCGAAGAGGCACATTTTTAGAGAATGGTAAAAAATTCCCTTGCGCACGCAGGCGAGCGGTGTTAGCAAGCAACGATTAACGCCACTACAGCACACCGTGGGGTGTACGGGCCGGCACTACACCATAACTGGTGATGTTAACGCTCACTTAAGGCCGGGACAATCCAAGAGTAGGCGACCTGCCATGAATTGATGGCCACGTCCTGGAAAATAACCCAGGATGTTGGGTGCATCGAACAGTGCCCTAGCATTTGTGCCACTGTATGCACTAGGGGTTGTTGAGATTTTCTTTTAGAAAACTCGATAATAATTTGCTAAATACATATTATAGGTTTGCGACACATGTAAAATTGTTTAAAACACAGCCCTGGAGTGTGTGCATCATTGTGTCTGTTCATCATTGTGTCTGTTCAGATGTACCACACGTGGACTGATCAATCCTGCCACTGGTGCCTTGAGATGGCATTCTGCTAACCAATCATATTGGAACGCGCCATGCTGTTTGAACGTTTGCGCATGCCCAAAATCGGTTCCACCGTTACCGAAATTAAACTAGATTCAATTGCCGATCCAATGAATTGGAATCGATAACAGATTCTGAAAACAACCATCGACAAATCGATCGTCGATCAACAAACCCTACCTACATTGCACACACACTCAAGCCGTACAAATTTAACTTGCAACACAGATCAGTGCGCCGTGCCGCGATGGGTCTTTGTCACGCACCTTGGGTCCCTTGAGCTTGCCCAGTGTGTGCAGCAGCGTCTTGATGGTGCGCAGAGGCATGTCGTCCTTGCGCTGCTTCCACGACTCACGCGGGAACACCCTGAGGAAGTTGTGCGAGTCCAGCAGGATGCGGTCCAAATTCAAGGTGTGGATGATGTTGGGCAGCAGCCGTGACAGACGCCACAGGCACTGCGTCATTACAATGGGGGGGGGGGGGGGGAGAAGAAGGCAATGTGCCGTGTTTAAGAGGAAGAAGCAACACAAAAAAACGAATGGCTCTTGACTCGTAAAGCTAGAGGGCGGCCCTGTCGACAAAGACGTAGTGACGGGGACATTCACAAGACACTTAGCCAACACCGCTCACTGGTTATCAACTCGCCTGGCACTCACCACTTACCGGTTCAAACATTGCAGTGAAAAGCCTGTTGACATTCATTGGCTGCTCTCATGGAAAAGGTCAAATGTTTTCCTGACATCTGCTCATTTACATAAACTACATATAAGTACAATAGTAGCACACGTACAAATAACGTTAAAAAATATTTCCTCATCAAGCAAATTTCACAATCATGTCAAACAGGCTAGAAACCCACAGCCTAGGTGAGGGGTCAGCAACCAGGATAACAAGAGACATTCTTTTTAATTCGGTAAAAAACTCAATATTTCAAGAGCCGCAATGCATGTGAATACCGACACGGTGGTCCTTAATAAATAACGTCACCAAGCAGTCCTTAAAGAGCCGCATGCCACTCAGGAGCTGCAGGTTTCCGACCCCTGGCCTAGGTACAACACAACTACAAAATAAAACTCGTTTTTTGTTGCATTTTCCTTCGATGTAACATCTACCACCACAAAAACAAAAGACTTGCAATGCAATTACATTGATGATCTAAGCGCTCACCTTCATCACAAGCTCGCAGTACTTTGTGGAATTATTTGCCGGAGTCGCGAGGCAGTCCTGCAGGAGCCGAATCAGCGAGCTGAGGATGCTCGTCTGGTCGGACTTATCGAGCACCTTCAGCAGCAGCATGTTGATGGAGCGAATGACCTGTGGTCCATCTTCGAGGTCCTCCAGCCTCGTGTCCAGCAGCAGCGTCAGCAAGCCATGCATCAAGTCCTTGAGCACGCCCACCGATGCCTCCTTTGAGAGGCCCTCCGTCTGGAAGAGCTACAACAAGGCCCCAACAAAACGCAGTCACCACCTTCACCATGGTCGAGTGCAGGGTTTAATGAACACTTCCCTACAAACAGAAAACTAAATATATAGCAAACCAATATTTTGGCAATAACCCTCAACGTATGGGCGAGTTTATTTTGTGCTTATGCACAACTGCCAATGCAACCCTTTGTTTTATATTCTATCAAAATAGATTAACGAGTAGCGGACGGTTTACAATTTTTAATACGCACAACAGAGCAACAAACATGAGTATTGTAGTATGCACAAGCTGTACAAACTGTTCCATATTAAGCATTATTTGGCAGTGTGCTGATTAACAAAGCGAGCAAAGTTCACGCTTATGAAAGTTAAAACACGTGGTCTCTTTGCCAGAAGTCTGTCAGCGAGTCAGATGGCCCCTGTGCACCTCTGGGCTTTCATCAAGGAGTGAATCCATTCGGCCCGTGACAGGAGCACGCCACATGCACGCTCCTGCCGCGTCATTGTGCAACTCATCACTCTCGCTCTACAGAACAGCTGTGCTCACTCAATCACTCGAGTGTAATTATGTGCGTTCTCCCACCGAAAGTATCAAAACACATTGTTTATAAACATTAGTTTAAAAGAAAGCAATTTGCTTTAAGTACGTCACAGTAGAATTACTATGCCGATGACACGCGGCTCTCCATCGACATGGATTCCTGGGAATTTTTTAATTAAAGTACTTCGTAATTCACAAAAAGGGGCACTGTTATTTTATGTTCGGAAATTAGACAAGAGCATGTTCTATTAAAAGGGAGGCAAGGGATAAGGGCGCAAGAGAAACATTTGGCAGTGTGGAAACCAGGCAAGCTCATTGCACAACAATTTCGTATAGCTTACCAGTGCACAGCTGCAAGTCTTTCACAAGTGTGCAGTCTATTAACAACAAATGCCCAATAATGCGCAATTGCATACCCCAAATTGAAGCCAACGGCCTTCAACCCCAATCGAGTTCAATGGGGTTACATATTTTCCAGATTACGTAACCGAAACTAGCGTACGTCACATATACGCGTGATGTATTACGTACGACGTCACGTGCACACGCGAGTGGCCTTGGAGTGGCCTGACATAGTTTGGCAGGCAAAGCCGTCACGAGGGCAGTATGGGCCTGTCGCTCACCAGTTGGACAACGCTGTTAAGACAGCATCAATATCCTTTTGCACGAGAGCTTCACGGCACGTGCAATCGTGCATCTTACTGTGGCAAGATTGCTGATGATGCAGCTGTAGAGTTTGATGACGTCGTCCTTGTTGGTGCACTCGTCGGCCAGGTGCCTGTCATAGGTGAGTCTCAGCTGCATGAAGGTGGCGATGAGGAACTGGTCCACATGGCCCGACATGGCCTCCACCTTGTCCTCGCTCCGCAGGACCTCGTCGATCTGCGTGCGTGAATGTGCATGCAGAACCGCCGCCCCCCCCAACATCCGTTAAAAGGGAATGGAGCGATCCTAAAAAACGGTACTTTAAAAACAAAACTCGCACAACCAATATCCAGTTTAGAGCATTATAATCTAGGGGTTGCATTGGGTTACCTGGGCAAGGGCCTGTATGCTGGCATCGATCTCATTGCTTGCCACCTGCGAGATTACAAAGTTGATGGTGGATGCTGTACTGCCCCCGCCGATGTCGTCAAACTGTGGAGAGACTGATCGGATCCTGCACACGTGAGATGGAAGCAGGTACATTTTGCCGAATCAGTTGAAATCTTCACGTGCAATTTTTATTGGTGTATTTACCAAAAGCTATTTATTTTTACTGTTTTTATCTCTTTTACAAGTAAAATGTTTAAAAATAACCATTATCGGGTCACAGATAATATGTGCGCACAAGGATATAAGGAAAGAAACATGAGTCACGAGACTTGGCAACTTTCCTGGGTAAACAAGTAAAACAATAGTATCACCACCATGAAGACGACAAAGCCGAAGCAAGCATGGTCTGTTGGGTTCGTTCACGAGTTCACCGTTTCTTCTCTCAAGCGTTAACTACGTAACTAATACAAGAGATCGGGGAGTAGAAATGCTCAGAAGCGACCTAACCCGCAAGACTATTGAATGCAAAAACCCACGTGTCCCATTTGCGGGGGGGGGGGGAGGGGGTGGGGTAAATCGGTGGATCACACACGCGTGCTCAGGTATGTTCATGGGCCGCAAGACGTCGTCCAGTTCGTGCTGCACAAGGACGGGCAGCTCGCAGTGTGGAGCCGAGTCGTCCTCCTCGATGTCGTCCAGGTCCAGCTGGAACTCGCGGGAGGTGGCCGGGGGCGGTGCTGGCTGGGCGGCCGGCGTGGCCGCCGGGCGGCCTGCTCGCGCTTGGCTGGACGTGTGCAGGACGACAAGTGCGTGTGAAAAGGGCGTGTAAGAATCACCGAGTATTGCGTCGGATTAAAAAAAGATGGCTCCCTAAAAAAACAACTTAACAGCTCTTATCTTGTACGTATGTACGCAAGCCGTGTGTCCGGAGACGTCCGATGTAAATTAGGAAGCTTTGGCGGTGACAAAAGGGGCACTGACGTTCCTGTCAAGTGCACGATTAAGGTACTTGAGTGATGGCACGTTGACGTAACTCCCAACAAAGTCAGTGCAGTGATATCAGTGCTATGGCGGAAGCCCCTGAAAGAGATTTCAGTATTTTTTTTCTCATTATTATTAACCTTTAAAGCCATGTCAGAGCCCAGGACACAGCGCCTAGGTGCATAGGTACCAGATAAAACCTTTTATTTTCCAGCATAATACTTCTAGCGGAGGCAAAAGAAGGGGAAATTGATGAGTCCAATGTCCTTAATCTTACCAAGCTGTTCACCTAAAATCTCGTCTGGAAATTCAAGCTGTTTGCTCTGGCCTTCACACGGCTCTCTATCGTACATCGCCAGAGAAGACCCGAAATCTTGCGCCACGTGACGTTGGAGAAGTTTGAGGAACAATGGCAAGGAGGAAGGAGATGGTTGGGGACAAGACGAAGCAGAACAAGATACTCACATGCGGTAGGAACGGTACATTATTCTTTTTCCACAATGAAAAGCGCAAGGAAGAGAAGCAGACATTTGATACACGTCCCCTTATGTATCGTTACCCTACGTAAACAGACCGTAGCAGAGTGCAGATGCCACGTGTATCAAAGAGTCAGAATGAGATATGAACACAATCGAACAAGATGAACGGCTTGCACGGTTTAAACAACAAGCAGTGAAAAAATGCCAACAATTTTGGCAAGGCACTCGAACCTTGAGCAACTAGATGTACACAGTGGGGCCCAATTGTGTTTCACAAGTCAATAATTGTGCAATCACTCCTCATTCTCAATGAGCTGTGACGCACAATATCAGACCTCGAATCGTCTCATCCCTTAAACGATACAAGATGCAGAGAAGACGGTAAACAACCCACTCACTTGAGCTTGGAGGGCACCTCTTCTTCCTGCCCGGCGCGCCCCTTCATCACCGTTGTGTTGTTGCTGTGGGTCGCTGCGAGGGCCGGAGTCGGCTTGGTGCCACTTGAGGGCTTCTTGGCAGAGCGTTTGATCCTTTCCTCCAGCATGCTCATGTCCTTGTCTGCCAGCTAGCAACAAAATCAAAAATAACCAATGGGTCATCACGCGATCATCATCATCATCATCATCTGTCGGATGACGAATCCATAACACCATCTCATCTGTGGTCTTTAAAGCGAGCTTGTTCACTCCATTGAACGCCATTCCACCACTAGTCTCATCCACCGACCATCATCCATTCTAGCGATCTGTCCCTGCCCAAGCCCATCTTACTTTTCCGAACAGCCAAAAATAATGTGCATCATTTATATTTATTTTCCGATCCACGTGTTCAAATTTGTTTCTGAATGTAATTACAATCATATTGGGTAAATAAAAATAATTCTTACACTTTATTTGAAAATTTGAGTACATGGGTGGCTGTGCATTATAAAACCTCATGTAATGGAATGTACAACTCAACCTTTTGCACAGTCAGCTATGAAGGTGCCCAACATGTATGTTTAATTTGTGGCCCCATTTCACGTAAACTTGTTCAGAGCAGATATTCCTTTGAGTATCAAAACTTCATCCACAACAGTACTTCCATCAGTAATTAGAGAAATGTCACTCTTCATGACACAATTCCCAAATAAGTTAATTGTTTTTATCGTGGTGCCTGTAGCATCTCGTGGTGTGTATCTATATGGGTATAAAAACTATGAAAATACACAACACCAAATGGAAGCCAAATTATTAACGCACAATTACACACATTTACAGGAAGTCCGAATTTATTTGAATCAATGAAGCGATCGATCGTTACACTTTTAAGTGGTTAACGTGGCACGGCTAAAAAAGACTAAAAAGGCCACCTACATTTCCAATCATCTTGAGAACCTGTTCCCCAGCGAGGTTGTACGCCACCACGATGGTGTTGAGCGCCGCGTTGCGAACGGAGTTGTCGCGGTCGCCAATCTGCGTCGCGATCTCTTTCAGGGCCTTCGCTGGCGTGGGCTGGCACACGTTTATGCCGTAGCTGTCGATGAGCACTCCCAGCTCCTCCAGGCACTCTTGAGGTCCGACGGAGCAGACCGAAATTAACAAATGTTGCATGCACACGTGCTCATTGCATAATCAAGAAACATATTTGTACATGCGCAGCCTTGGGCTAATATACTTCTGAGCGAGGGTCTCCACAAACTTGGGGCTGTATGACCACACGTCACCACGCAGGTCAGTACAGGTTGGTGGAAGTGGGAAGCATAGACACAGAGTACAAAAACATTTTTCGTTAAACTGCCCTCTGCCGACGACCACACGGCAAAGCCTGGAAAGCAAGCTTTTAACGCCTTTTTAATACATGATATTGAATGAGATCGGGTGCGTGCTGGGTGATACGATCACAAGTCAAATACAATCGAACAGAAATATAAGCGGGAAGGACGCTTGACAAGTGAGTTTCTCACAACTCACCCGCTCTTTGTTTCGAGTTCTTAGACTTTATTCCGTCTAAAACGAACACAAACATCTTGCTCGCTGGATACACCTTGCAGATGGTATTCATGATCATTCGTACATCCTTGCGAATTGTGTCCTTTGACTCGCCGACCTGATCAATAGAAAAAATACGTATGGCATTAATGTTTTCTAATTAAATTGCAGAACTGAACTTTATATTTTAAACCGCGCGTACAGCGGCACCAAACCAAAGCGGCAAGCATTCCGTTGGATGATTAATATTTTACATCGTAGAGCAGCTGTCTGTACACGTCAACACAGGGCAAACTCACCTTAAGGATGAGGTAGGGGATGAAGGAGTTTGCCTCAAAGTCGGTGAGGCAGTAGCCGTCGGCTGATATCGTCAAAAAGAGTATCTTAAGATACTCCAGCACCTTCATCAGCACGCTTGTATTTGTCTCGAAGAAGCGCAGTGTCACCCACTTCAGCACCAGGTCCAGACAGCTGAGGCAACCATCCTTTTCAGACTCCATCCGCTGCACGATTAAACCTCCGATTAGTTTAGATATATATTGCAACAAAAAATAGCATTCACCCACGATACTTTGGCGGGGCAAAAAAACACATGTTAAATCGTAGCTCAGATGGCCTAAATATAGTTTATTTTGACTTTTCAGTTGTTCGTCTTGCCATGTAAAGGCAAAAGACTGTGGCATAGCTATGGAGTGCGCGGGTGGAGCCCACAGGCTGGAGAGACCCAGAGGATGAATTAAAAAAGGAGATTGAAATTGGACTGGAGAGTCCTTATTTCATGCCTTGCACCAGGGCCCGTGCAAACAACACTATGTCACCGGACGGAGATGAGGGAAACAAAACTTAAAACGAAACGCCCAGCAGCCAACGTCCCTGGATCTGACGTCAGACAAGTGGAGGTTAAGCCTTCACCTCGGTCATGATGCCCAGGGCCTTGTTGTGGTGCTGGAAGTCTGCGTGGAACAGCTCCTCCAGGAGCCACCGTGCCACGCACGAGGAAATCTGCGTCTTCAGCTGCTCAATGTACTCATCGCGAGGTGTGGTGAAATTCCATTTCAACACCTGTTGAAGTTTTTTTTACAGGAAAAATGCACATTGTCACCACATTAAAAATGTATATACACATGTACACAAAAATGTTTTAATCCAATGCAAGCTTAAAGGGCTCCACATGCCATGTGATCTTGGTTCACCATGCTGGTCAGTGCCGGTTGGTGAAGATGGGGAAGTATAGATGTGGGAGCAAAGAATTATAGTACAACAATTGTATGTTCTGCACCGCCCGCCGCTGCTCGCCATGCAGCGACAGCCTTTGATAAACAGCGTGTCACGATGGTTACTTATTCAAGCACTATCCACGCTTCATTCTGCTTAGCTTACGAGACGTGAAGAGAGGGGGCGCATTCTGGGTTCATCGGTCATTGGCCAAATTGTACAGCTGGGAAGTTTATATGCTCAAGTCAATTTAGAAAACAGACGAGCAGCATGCTGCACACCGATACTGTGAGAAAGTAAAACCCTTCTGGATCCAAGAGCAAAAGCTTATGTTCACAATCTGAAATGTGTGCCTAGCTCATCTTCTTGACCCAGAGTAACCAACATAGAAGAAAAAGGTTGCACAAAGAAGACCTGATGCAGGCAGTATTGAGAAGGGAATTAACAATATTTGGGGTCACATATGTAGGATGGACAAGTGTGTTGCTGTTCGGGAAAATTGTAAGGAACCGGAAAGAGAGGAAGACCTAAGAGAGAATGGCTTGACGATGACATCATAAACAGAGATTGGTGCCAGAAAGATGTGGCACTACATGAGCATATAGGCACAACAGAGAGGAAAGTGGAAACAAATGACGAAATATGCAGTGGACACCTGCGAGCTATCTGTCCATGGATGGTGATGATGATGATTACACGTCATCATGGCTAAATACAACTTGCATGTTATACATCCATGTGTCATATGGGCTGACATCGTAAGGGCTTGGCTATCTGGATGGCATGTTTACATTTTATTATGGAATTTTACGCCGGTAAATTATCCAGATGAATGCCGTACTTTGCCAGTGTTTCCACATCTAAATACAAGTTTGTTTAAGGTGCTTGTAACGTATTTCACAATCATAACAAGAAATGTTATCATACATGTCCATGACTGAATTCTAGCAGTACAGAAAACATAGATTGTGATGAGCTCACCTTCAGTGCCCTCTCTTCTTTCACCCTTTGTTCTTTTCCATTTGGAACCACAATAAATATAGCTCCTCCCCGATCCTCATCCTCCTTCAGATTCGTCTTGCTGGCTGTCTTCTTTCCCAACGAAGCCTGGCGAATATAGTCAATAAATTGTAGTTTTAAAGGCATGCACGTTCAACACCAAACAAACACACATAAAACACGGACAACAACACTTTCCACCAAACTGTGGCAATCTCCGCTTGCATGGGTGTAGACACAAAACATTACCATCTAAAGTAAGACAGTTTTTTACGCACCTTGCCCTTGGCAGCTGGTCCGGCAGTTTTTGGTCGTTTGGTATCTGCCACAGAGCTAGCGTCCTCCGCAGGCACAGGGGCACTCTGCGGTCTCGAAGAACCTATGGAAACAAAAATCTTAATTCGATACAAATATAATAACAAACAATTTTTACTTAAAACTTTCGTGACTGCAGGAATTCATGTTCTTTGGTTCTTTCAGTAAAGTCACGTAGATAGAAAAATAAATAAATATAAAGTGAATAAAAATGATAAAAGTAAAATAAACAAAAAACCATTAATGTAGACTGTAGCCTGGTTATTAATTTTGGTGAGTGAACTGGCAGTCTATAGTGTAGACCGAAAGAATCAAAGAATAATAACAAAAGCAGCAGCAACAATTCTTAAACTATACAGTGAGGGAAAAAAGTATTTGATCCCTTGCTGATTTTGTACATTTGCCCACTGACAAAGAAATGATCAGTCTATAATTTTAATTGTAGGTTTATTTGAACCGTGAGAGACAGAATAACAACAACAAAATCCAGAAAAACGCATGTCAAAAATGTTATAAATTGATTTGCATTTTAATGAGGGCAATAAGAAATTTGACCCCCTCTCAATCAGAAAGATTTATGGCTCCCAGGTGTCTTTTATACAGGTAACGAGCTGAGATTAGGAACACACTCTTAAAGGGAGTGTTCCTAATCTCAGCTTGTTACCTGTATAAAAGACACCTGTCCACAGAAGCAATAAATCAATCAGATTCCAAACTCTCCACCATGGCCAAGACCAAAGAGCTCTCCAAGGATGTCAGGGACAAGATTGTAGACCTACACAAGGCTGGAATGGGCTACAAGACCATTGACAAGCAGCTTGGTGAGAAGGTGACAACAGTTGGTGCGATTCTTCACAAATGGAAGAAACACAAAAGAACTGTCAATCTCCCTCGGTCTGGGGCTCCATGCAAGATCTCATCCTCGTGGAGTTCCAATGATCATGAGAACGGTGAGGAATCAGCCCAGAACTACACTGGAGGATCTTGTCAATGATCTAAAGGCAGCTGGGACCACAGTCACCAAGAAAATAATTGGTAACACACTACGCCGTGAAGGACTGAAATCCTGCAGCGCCCGCAGGGTCCCCCTGATCAAGAAAGCACACCCATGCCCGTCTGAAGTTTGCCAATGAACATCTGAATGATTCAGAGGACAACTGGGTGAAAGTGTTGTGGTCAGATGAGACCAAAATGGAGCTCTTTGGCATCAACTCAACTCGCCGTGTTTGCGGGAGGAATGCTGCCTATGACCCCAAGAACACCATCCCCACCGTCAAACATGGAGGTGGAAACATTATGTTTTGGGGGTGTTTTTCTGCTAAGGGGACAGAACAACTTCACTGCAAAAGGACGATGGACGGGGCCATGTACCGTCAAATCTTGGGTGAGAACCTCCTTCCCTCAGTCAGGGCATTGAAAATGGGTCGTGGATGGGTATTCCAGCATGACAATGACCCAAAACACACGGCCAAGGCAACAAAGGAGTGGCTCAAGAAGAAGCACATTAAGGTCCTGGAGTGGCCTAGCCAGTCTCCAGACGTTAATCTCATCAAAAATCTGTGGAGGGAGCTGAAGGTTCGAGTTGCCAAACGTCAGCCTCGAAACCTTAATGACTTGGAGAAGATCTGCAAAGAGGAGTGGGACAAAATCCCTCCTGAGATGTGTGCAAACCTGGTGGCCAACTACAAGAAACGTCTGACCTCTGATTGCCAACAAGGGTTTTGCCACCAAGTACTAAGTCATGTTTTGCAGAGGGGTCAAATACTTATTTCCCTCATTAAAATGCAAATCAATTCATAACATTTTTGACATGCGTTTTTCTGGATTTTGTTGTTATTCTGTCTCTCACTGTTCAAATAAACCTACCATCAAAATTATAGACTGATCATTTCTTTGTCAGTGGGCAAACGTACAAAATCAGCAGGGCACCAAATACTTTTTTCCTCTCACTGTACATGCATCTCTTTACCAAATTAAGAAAATGCAGCAATACCCGATTTGGCAGGCGCTGCGCTTGCGGATGCCGAGGCCCCCGTTGATTTAGCCGTTGCTTTTGCAGCAGGTTTGGCAGGAACATTTGGCCGACACTTATCCAAAACAGCCATCACTGGGTCCTTTGATGAAGCCTTGAATGACAACACAAAATTTATGTAAATGTCATGCGACCGACTCACTAAGCAAATAATTACTTTAAATTATTATCTCAAGATTTTGTGTGTGTATTGTTTTACTGCATTACTATTATACAAGCACAGGGGAGCGTTAGATAATCTAATAAATGGAGCCATGTAGGACAATAGCAAGTTGCTCTCAAGTGTGTTGTAAAAGATTAACAATTTTTGAGGTGGCCAGTTGGCACAGAGGTCAGAGCAATGAGCGAGTACTGCCGAGATTCTCGGTTCGAATGCACGTGTGCTGAACTAGTTACAAATTGCCATGTTCTGTTTATGTAACAAAGCTTACCAATTAGCTGTCGGGTGGTGGCGCGTTTAACGACACATTTATATTTACGCGATTTCCCAAAAGAAAAACTATAATGGAATACACGTCGTTGACTCATTAAGTGAACCGAGTTGATGGCCACCAATGACGGCAAAAAGCAATTTGGTTCTGGGCTTAATTTTTTGTCGAATATGGAAGAGTATGGGACTTTTGCGCTTTTTCTCTGCGGACCAGCTCACTCGAAGCTTGAGGTAAATCTGTTATATGCACTTCTCTGGACAACTCTCTAACGCAAAGGTTTGCACTGCTCTGCGCGAAATCAAAATGGGTAAAAACAAGAGCATCGTAAGAGAACATCTCTTTTGACCTATCGTGCCCGCCATATACCATCACCTAGTACAGAGATACACGCCGCTGCTCCTGACGCGGTTATCTGGCTTGAGACCACCTGAATGTGAAACTGTAGTTGTTGCTCTGCATCTAGATGAGCCACACGACAGAAGACGACTATCAACTACAATAATAATAATTTCATTTATACAGTGCTTTTCATCAAGGCTCTTAAAGCGCTGTACAGGACACAGCAGCAGCACACGCTCGGCATGAAAACAATTATTTATACATTTTAAGAATCCATTCACTAAATGGACTAAAAGTTGAATAAGCGGAAGCGTGTAAATGGGTTTTAAGACGCATTATAAAACGTCCAGACTCGGAGAGATCCTAATATCTTGTGGAACAGCTTTCCAAACCCTGGGGGTTACACGGGGAACAAGCTCGGTCACCCATCGACCGAAGAAGCCTCGACCTGGGGAATAGCAGAGAAGATCTGCCACACAACTTCATGAAACAATATCAAGGTTTCCTCCACACCTTCAACTTTCCAGTGGCTTTGGTCATCTTTTCGTAGCCCAGGTGCATCATGAAGGGAATCACGGCATCCTGCGCCTTCTTGCGCACGTCCCCATTGCGGTCCTCGATGCTGGCGTACAGATACGGCACACACAGCGCCAGGTCGGCCGGTACCGTGCGGAGATCCGGCAGCTTCTCCGCGAGCCAGCCCAGCAGCTACATGGTGGCGGCGGTGGTAGGCAGCAAAAATGCACACACATTCAGGGCAAACAAACAAACGCTTAAGTTTACCCTTTTTGTCAGCATCCTCGTGAACGTCTCTACGGTCATTAGAGAACTCTGAGCTTTGTAAAAAAATCAACATACAGTTATATAATGCACTTTTTGTGAATGATTAATAGTAAAATGTGTTCATAACCATATAAAATGTTCGTAAGGTGAAAGTACATATGAACAGCCCTCTTGTTAATATCCTGCTGGATGAAGGCCCCCCCATGCGTTGGCGTGATTGAACCATACATCACCTCGCTGGTGAGTGCAGGTTGGTAAAGGTGGGGGACAACATTAATGGGAGCACAGAAGTACAGCACAACTATGGATCTTGCTATACCGCCACCCCCGATCCACAAGGCAGCACAACCCTGCAGCCTATAATGCTTGTTAACGTGGTAGGCCATCCCATCATAATACAGGCTCAACCATGTGGGTGACTTGGCTATAGAAATATTTTTTTAAGTACAAAGGCCTAAACGTGAACGAGGTAAATGCAAAGCGCACCTCCTGTCGCAGGTAAGGGTTTTCCTTTTTGAGCTCTTCGGATAAGTCTTCTCCCTCCAACCAATCCTTCATGCCCGTCTGCTCCACCCATGTGTTCAGGGTAGCGAGGGCTGCCGCTCTCACCGTGTTCTGCCCGAAGAATTATTAGAGCGCGCAAATGTTAGAAACCACACGAACGTTAGAAATCACGCTGCAAAATATTCGGCTTTTCCGCTCAACCCACCCCCCAAATGTGCCCTGCAAAAACGGGATACTCTGCGGTCACCGCCATCATCACGCGAGATTTCACACGGCTTTACATAATTATACAGTGCGTAAGCGGGTACCTTGGCATCCCCAAGGGTGGCGATGATGGGGAACCCCAGCGACCTTACGTGCTGCTTCACATTTGGCCCCATTGCTGTGGCAACTTGCTGCAGAATGCCGAGCGTCTGTTGCATCTACACTCCAGTGCACCGACACACAAAAGAAAAATTCCCCATATAGCCTCAACAGACTGTTTGGGACAAGTGCTGTTAGCGAGTAGCACCTATGAAGGCCGGCACACGAGGTGGTGGGTGGTCAGCACCACCCCCAGCCGCCTTTGTCTCCCCAGTGGCGATGTTTACACACCAAACCAGGTACTCATTTGAGGCTGAGCCAACCTAGAAAAGGCCCAAAACCGGTTCAGATGATCATAACTGGTGTTGGCCATGAGTGGGAATCGAACTCCGGTACTCCGAGTTCGTAGCGCAGCGCGCTAACCGCTGCACTACCGCACCGGCACACACACACACATGTAGAACAATTAAGAATGCAGTCGGAAATAAAAACCGTGGAAATTTTACGAATGTAATCAAGCACGATACGGTTTGATTTTGCATTGGACTTGCCAGAATCTTATTGGAATCGTTGAGACGGCTCTTCAGGGCGCCCGGCAGGTCCCCAATGTTGGCAGTGATGAACTTGGCTTCGTTTAAAATGGCAACGACTTCGTCCAGGCCTTCTTTCCTGATTTTCCAGTTTTTGTCCCCAAGTTTGGTAACGAGGTCTGGTGTTATTTTGTTGCTGAAAAAAAATACAAAAGATTGACAATACATGCATTAGGCAAAAAACACAACATCAAATAACTAGGCGTGTGATGTTATTAATGTATTCATAACAATCATGAAATACCACTCACAATACCAAGCATCAAATGTCTGAGGAAATCAATGTTTGTATTAAAATGATACACATTTTTAAGATAGCGTGACATACATATAAAGGTGTAAAATAAAACTATGCAAATTAGATAAAACCTAAACAAAAATGCAAGACTGTAAAAAAAATATTTTAAAAAGAATAACTTCCTAAAACACAATCACAGCAATTCATTACACATCACTAGGGGGGGAGAATGGTTACATTTGGGTGCCACTCAATATGCACATGGAAAAGTAAAGCACCAGCTTTCTTGGATCACACGCTCCCAAATGTGTTAGTATAAGGGTATGAGAGAGTCTAAAAAGTATGAGTATACTTTATTAAGAGCCTGAAAATGTATTTCTAATCTGTTAATATTCACAGGATTCTCAGGGTCCCCTCCTCTTCTCCACATATATGCCTATACTCTGACTGTATGTATTGAATGCAATGTCTTTTTTCAACTCCTTTGAACAGCCAGTAAATATTGCAGAGTTGTTTTTAAGCTTGCCGTGGTTCAGTTTAACAGGTAAATTAATAACACCAAGCAGGTGGGTGAACTTCAAAACAACAAACCTGAACTTTGAGTGGCACCCTAAGTCACGTGCCTATAAAATAACCCGGCTTAAGTTCTACATATCCTAACTTGCGCGAGGAGATACAAAAGGAACAACAGCAGCATGCATACTTTACCATATATCTATCCGCGTTACTAAATCTTGCACGTTCACCATAACGCAATCCACTTCCGTCTCCCCATCCGCATCCTCGGAAGCGTCCTCCCCACGCTTACTTTGTCCTCTGAAGGGGGCAGGCGGAGTCTGTCCCTTTGTCTATGCAAAACAAGTGTTGTGGAAGGCAGTGGTAGAAAGGGTCATTGCACCACAGCATTAAATCCAACACACAAAAAACCATTACATTCATTTTGAGAAGAGAAGTGACCAACGAGCAGCCAATCGTGAGGCTGTTGTATCGAGTGGTGATTAAAAGTGGACTTGCAAAAAAAAAAAATGGATCCGAATAAAAAACAGCTTTCGAGAAGTTACAAAAAAACAGGCCGTGTGTTTTACACATTGGAAGGTCTGTAAGAACAAACCGAACAAACCAAAGAAACACTACCCTGGAAGACTGGGAAGAATGGTACCTTTTCAAACTCGGCATCTATCTGGTTCAGCAATGCCGGCTTCTCGTCTTCAAAAAACATGCGAAGTGGCGGTCCCATGTAGAGGTACATCACGCCCAGGATAGCGATGGCTGAGGTTCGCACAGCCTGCGTGACGGGAAAAAAAACACAGCAAAACAGCCGATATCTTGAGACCAGTCACCACGAGCAGAAACTCGATTGTGAGCGCTTAAAAGTATTGAATAAGGCAAGCGCCTAATCTCCATCACTCACTGACCGGATTAGTTGCCGACAGCGCAGTCTTCACGTGACTAATGAAAGCCCTTACGTTCACCCTGCCAACAGCAAAAAAAAAAAGTTAATTTCCAACTTAAACATTTCAGTACGGCTTAAGATACTAAATCACCAAATGCGCATGCCGTAGAGCTGTGGTTATAAACATTTTTGGACCTGCAGACCGATGTCAACCTTCAAAAGTCATGGAACACCATGTGGTTAAAAATGTGGTTTGGTAAAAATATAGTTGTACGCAGGCTGAACTTCTTTTGCACCATAGATAACCAACCATGCTAAGCAGGTGCTAACCAACCAGGTTAAGCAGGTGCTAATCGGAGGTGCAACAGTCCCAGCGGATCACTGCCTTGCGGACCACAGATAAGAAACCACTGCTGTAAGAGGAGAGATGATACTCACCCAGCGAACCCAAACTCTTTTATAGCATTCGCAAGCCAGGTCAACGTCTCCGATTGATTCTTTGGATTTTTTTGACCAAATGCCATTGCAACAATCTGAAAGGTCATAAATACACTTAGTTAAATTCAGCAGACCTACAATTCAGTAACAGCTCCAATCACAACCACATAATGGAAAACAAAATAAACTAAAAACGATTGTGCATTCACTGCTGATGCACCTCCTCTGCAGTCCACGGCAAATTGCAGGCTTCCGAGACGGCAGTCAGGGCGTCCTTGGCAAAGTTTCCACACTTCACATCGCCGATCTTGTCAACAAGGCCCTCCAGGGCGATGCGGGCCGATGTCTTGGAGAAATTACCCTTCTGTGCCACCAGTGCCACAATCTGCAGCTTCAGCTGCATCACCTGCCACGTGTGTTCAAACACTCACGTCAATGTCATCTTCCGAGTTTGAACCATAAGAACATAACATATTTTCACTTACCTCGCAACTTTAAAAAATGTGACATGTTTAGCTAAGATCGTTGCAAAAACAAGCAGCAGGTAACCCTTACTTGGAAGTTGGTTTCCTTCCAGCCCGGTTTCTTGGCCAACATTCTTATGAGAGCTTGGCACGGCATTTCATCTTTTCCCATCGTCTCTACAGCCTGTGTACATGAAACTGGGTTAACAAAGGTGTCAATCAAATCCACAGGTTACACCTGCCGCTTGACACACAAGCTGCAGCATACGCCAATGTCGTTAACGTGGTCACAAACCTTCTGGAACTCCTCCATGCTGGCGAGCCTCTCCTTCCAGTTGCTGCTGTCCAGCTGCTGCAGGCAGGAGGGTGGCAGCACTGCAGCAGCTTTCTCCTCGCACGCCTCCGTCTGTGGGCAAACGCAGCCAACAAACCCACCATGTAGCGCTCACAAAAGCACAGTCAGCACTGCATGCACTACATGCTGATTCAACAGCTCAATGCAAACCGCACAAACACCGGGAGATCATGAAAACGTTAGTTCTATGAAAACGAGTAAAAAATGTATTTATCACCTGCAAAGATATACATGGTTTCGCAATGTGTGAGCACCAGAACAATTGCAAATGCTGTGGCGGTACCGACGTACTTAGAAATTGCATTAAGCCAAACTGTAAAGCACTGTGCTCTTACCGAAAGCTCATGCTCAACCTCGTCTTGTTTTTCTGCCCCCTTCTTGCCCTTGGCAGTTGCAGCCTTACCACCCGCCGCAGCTTTTCTTGGCGGACCACCTGGCTGCAATACCCACGCATAACGTTCAGCCAGCATTCGTCACAACGTGCCGTGCAGTTTCAACAAAAGCCACCTCTCTTAAAAATGCCTTGAGCCACGAATTAAATCATCTATTAATGCATGCTCCTTGCAAAAGTCTGCACACAAAAGGTCCCTAATAAAACTCAAGTAATTCAACAAGAAACAGTGTGCACTGGTTAAAGGAGACAAGTAGGTAAAATAACTAAATGAGGAATTCAGCCCCCATTTATTGACATGAACACTTAGCAATTACCAGAAATACTTTGCTTTAGATAGTTAAAGTTTTTTTTTATCATGTAACGTTACAAAATCGATCAAGGCTGTAGCTGATAAAAGTAGATGTTAAAATATATTTTATACTTTACATTACGAGCATTCCGTGATTTTTGATCACTGTACAAGATGACAAGTTTTTTCTTAATTTTCTATTTTAACACAAACATATACGAAAGTATATTGAATACGAAAAATATTGCATAGCCAGATTGTCCCAATGAGGTGTGCCAATATTGTGTTCTGAATGTCTACACCAGTCTGCACCAGTGCCAAGTACTGACCTTGACACCGGCCGCAGCCACCTTTTTGGGCGGTCCCGAGGGTCTGCTAGATGTGGTCGATCGGGCTGTTTCTGCCGACGCCGTTGGCCCAGCTTTGGCCGATGGGCTCGCCGACTTAGAAGCAGTGGCTGTGCCGCCCACTTTCTTGCCTCCCTGCACCAGTTCGACTTTCTCGGCACATTCCTTGATCTGTTAACGGAGAGCACGTGACATTGATGGTGACATCTAACTGTGTCAAGAGGAATGCAGGTGCCACAAGAGATCAGGGAACGCTTGCAGAAAAGATTCATGTAATCACCTTTTCGAGTTTCAGCTTGTCCACCTCATCCAGGTAAGGGTTGACTGCCTTCTCCCCAACCACCTTGAGGGCAGTGGCTAGGGCCTCATAGGCAGCATCTCTTACTTCTGGTGCAGAGTCATTTGTTTGCTGTGAGGACACAGAGTAAACATATGAAAATCACTTGTTAATAATATGCTTTCAAACCTATTATAGATTTTCAACTTTTTAACGAGCTACACTATAGACCAAATACAAACTTTAAGCAGAAATGCAATATTATTTTAGTATATCGTTTACTTTTTTGCACTGACATTTTTGTAGTCTACACATACTATGTTTTCCACCCTCGTTCTTGTCCCAATACATGCTCGTCAATACCAATAATGTTTACGCATACATTTATCTGCTTCATTTTATTTCAACTGCACACCATACAAACAAAACATCCTCCGTAAATCTGGACCAACTTTGAGCAGAGCGACGCAGAATGGCTTGAGCAGCGACTTGGGCAGAGTGCTGGTCGTGCAGTGGCGGAAGCTCCGAGCCAAAAAGAGGGAGGCCTGCTGCTTGATGCTTGGATTCTTATTGTCCAGCACGGCCAGCACATCCTCACTCACCACTTGCAGCGTCGTCTGTACAAGAAAAGTCGTCACACCATTTGAATCTCTGAATACTTTACCTTCTCCTGTCCCCCACCCCTCCAATTCTTAAACAAGTGTTGCATTCGCCAACGTGCACTAAGGAGGTCATCAGTGCACGGGTCATTCTTTGCAAGCGTTAAGCGCTTACCGTAAGAAAGACTTCATCTATAGCCTCTTGAAGTGCTTGTACAACTGCGGGCTTTTTTTCTTTGAACTTCTCAAGCAGTGTAGACATAACCTGTGCAGACATGGAATCACACGCTCAATGAAAGGAACCTTACACTTAAAATTCAGCTAAAGGCTGCCTAGGCTGAACGCAATTCATTAAGTACTTCTACGTGTAATAACGTTGCCTCAAACAAAGTGACTTACATGAGGAGCGTAAGTATGAAACTTTTTCCGAAGCCCAGCGGCCAGGCAGCCCAAACACTTGGCTGCCAGTGCAACGAGCATAACATTCGAGTCCTTTCCAATAACCTGTACACAAGTAGTTAAAATTGGAGAGTTAATGTTCGAAAAAAAAACACACCACAACTATTACATACCACAATCAAGTTTTGTTTTTCTTTTTAAAAATTACATCCATGTTTTCATAGCCTAACTTTTAAAAGTACAATATAATAGGGTTTTTCCCCTTTTGTCTGGCAACAAAATTGAAACCTTTTTACAAGGAATCATGTGTGCATTAACATTCGAGTCCTTTCCAATAACCTGTACACAAGTAGTTAAAATTGGAGGGTTAATGTTCGAAAAAAAAACACACCACAACTATTACATACCACAATCAAGTTTTGTTTTTCTTTTTAAAAATTACATCCATGTTTTCATAGCCTAACTTTTAAAAGTACAATATAATAGGGTTTTTCCCCTTTTGTCTGGCAACAAAATTGAAACCTTTTTACAAGGAATCATGTGTGCATTAACCACAATACTTGTGGTTCAAATGCAAAAAAACACACACCGATAATATATGCATTGTTCTTGAAACCGATTGGTCCACACCAGAGACGGATTTCTTTGGAGCCTCGTCTCAATTGGTGCTAGACCAGAGGACGCCAAAAGGAGGTCTAATGATTTAAAAAGTACCTTTTTTAAAACCCTGACCACATCACCATAGTCCCCAGGCTCGAGCTTTGGGTGCTTCAACAGCACCTCCAATGCTTCCAGGGCCTCCTTGCGCTCTTGCCACTTCTTAGCTTCCTACACAGACCAAAAAGCACAGAAAATAAACGTCAAAACCAACAACTAAAACTTCATTTAAAAACATGGGGTGAATTATGGGATTTTTTTGGGGTTTACGAACCACTTTGTCATAGAAATCCTTCGGAAGTTTGGAGAGGATCTCCATGGGCTCCAAAAGATCGTACGGATCGAGAGCCGGTGCAGCATCAGCTTCGTCCTCATGGCCTGCCGATGAAATGTCTCAAGCTCAAGTAGCCGCTCTAATTTCAAAACACCTCACTTAATCAAAACGAAACTCTGGGTATCCATTCACGTGTCGTACGTAAAGACACAAGGATTTAAACGAGAATAAAATCTACACGCACCAGCGGCGACGTCTCCGTTGTCGGTCTGCTGTTGCTCAAATTTCATCCTGAGGTCCTGCTGAGAGCGCATGAACCGGGTCTGCTTGGCAGGCGTGTTGGGCATCTTTTCCCATTCATCCTCGAGTTCTTTGAGCTGAAAACAAACAGCAAGCTCTTACTCCAAAGGTTTTCATATTCCCATTATACTTGATTTTTTTTAATATATCAGTTGCAAAGAACAGGCCCAAAGATCAAATACCCTGCAACAACCACCACTATTGACGGCATATGTAAGTTGCATTTTGTCACCAGACATCATTACACATGTGGGACGTGACATCACATCTTAAATGTCAAAACATCTGGTAGATATTATGGCTTGATCTGTATTGTTACTTAATATTTCAATTTAAATACGAGTACATGAGCAGCCACTGCCCCTACAGTACATAGAGACTAAACGATACAAGAGCACAGATGTTGAGAAATGTGTGGTTTCCACAATGTTAAATTGCGAAAAGTCAGTATCAAGGGTGGCATTCCCATGGGAAACTGCCGAGTCAGAAAATATTAGGAAAATAAGATAATCCATTACACATTCATAATCATATTTAACTTAATCAATAATTTTAAGAGATGTTATGAGGTACTGTATTCACAATAAAAGACAGAGCAATGTTACTCACAAAATTCTGATATTTAACAACTCAAAGACTGTTTCAATTAAAAAATGAAACTTTATATAATTGAATTTTGATTTGAAGCTTTCGTGACTGCAGGGATTCATATTCTTGGTTCTTTCGGTAAAGTCACGTGGTTTTCACACCTGATGATGATTGCTTGTGTTGCAGTCGAAACGTCGTGACAGTTTTATTGTTTTATATTTTTATTATTTTATTGTTTCCCTTCTACGTGACTTTACCGAAAGAACCAAGAATATTTATATAATTGTTTAAACACGATAACTGGAAGCTAATTTACAAAAGTTTGGCGATTCCTATAGAAACATTTCTTTCCTAAGATTTGTCCCCTGTATAACTTCTTCGATGAATAATTTTCAAGTTAAATTCTCAGATAATCCGAATTGGGATTCACTGTTCCTGGCTTGGAATTGTAATAATTGGCTAAAATGTCCAGTAATATAACACAGCATAAAAAGTTTAAAGGCATTTGTATAATAGAATTATGCCTGTCTGGACATGCACTCAACAATGTTGTACAAAAATGCTGCTGACAGTGCATTTAACAAGTCAAGATAAGCCACTGCTTCTCACCTGCAGGGGGTTAATATTCTTGAGTGGTGCTCGCAACGCATCACGAATCCACCTGTAAATCTCCACGGCCAGTGACTTTGCCTCATCCCTCACTGGCTTGTCCCGCGATTCAAATAATTTTGGCAAAAGTTTTACGATTGGCTTCAGTTGCACAATTTTGGAACCAAACTCACTGGGGGAGACATACAAGATATGAAAACAGAAACACAATTAGGAACAAAAAATAATTCGAGTTTATATATGTTTTGACTATCTACCGCATGAACTGTGCATGACAGTGGTTGTCAAATGCAAATTACCAAAGTGCTTTCCTGAACGTTTCAATGCAAGCTACAACAATTTTGGGATTTTTGTTGTCCAATCCCTTGAGCATTTCCTCTTGCACTGGGTCTGGCTTGTCAATCTCAATGTACATGAGGCAGATGTCCATTCCCAATTCTTTGGCACGTGCCTTGGGCTGGTTAAACACCTTGTTCACGATACCTGCGACAACTTCTCCACCAGTCCTAGAAAAATGTACAAAAAATCAAAGTTCAGTGCTTCAAACTGAAAGTCAATGCACCGACATGAAGCAAATTTCAGCAGGTTCGGTGCTGCATATTGATAGTGGAATGTCAATAACAGAATGTGGAAAACTTACTTCCCAGCTACATTGGCATTTTCCACAAAGATCAGGCCTGCCTCCAGGCCCTTGAGTTGTGCAACAGCATTGCTGTCGGTGACAAACTTTTTGATTAAGCCCAAATATTTAGAAAACTCTGGACTTTTCTCATCCAATTTCTGGAAAATCTTGAGTGCTTCTTCGTAACCATTTAGTCTCGCTTTCCAAACCTAAAAACAGAAATGAAATAAAATGGAACAAAGAAAGTAACTCTTCCATGTACAATATGCCACATTGATTATTTTATACAAATTCAAAGTATAACAAAATGTGAAAATTGCGCACCTCCGATTAGCACAGTTGGACACGAACAGTGCGAAAGAAGTTCAACATACTTACACCAAGAGACAGAAACAGGAACACATGGATCAATAAAATAACTGCATCATATTTAGGAAACTAGGCTTGGGCATGACACATCACTGAAAGGGACTGATGGCCAATGTTTGAGACTGGTGACTGAATGACAAAATAGACCCGAGGGGAAGACTGACAGAGATAGTAATAGTCATGTGCTGGAGCGAGATGGATTGTGGCATTGCAAAAATGCGAGAGATCGCGACAGAATGGGGAAGCCTTAATCCAAAAGTGGACAGACCATGACTGATGCTGATGGAATGATTATGTAATGCTGTATTAATAACACTATCAAGAGAAAAATAACTACTTTGGGAAAATAGATTATGCATTCTGCATACCTATTTTACATGTGAAAGTACTCGTTCTGCCGACATGCTCATTTACTTTTACAGTTTAAGTGCGGATATTTTAATTTACAAGACAGCAATTGTAATATATTCCCTTTACACACACCACTTAAAAGACAAAAGGAAACTGATGCAAAGTGGGATGAATGCAAATGCCCCCGTGATTACAAGTTGGGAAACACGTGGGCATTCTTAGAGGCCGTTAATTCTGTTGTTTGAGATGTGTTTTAATAAAAAGAAAGAATTCATGTCACGAGTTACAGCCAAGTGAACATTACTAATATACGAGGTGAAAGCCAATTGAGCAAATGAACTAATTTTCAAGGAAGACCTTTTAAAAAGCAAGGTATAAGTCTTAGCCATTCTAATAGCTTTAATTCTCAACTATTTATTTACAAAATACACAACGAATGTTAACAAAACACCTAAAAGGAAAATTCAATCTCATTACGTGTCGACCCGATGACCAAATCACCCAGAATATCCTCAATATCAGATCTTGTATGGCAGACCACCATATATCGTGTTACAGGCTACGTAGTGGGCAAAATTAACATGATTGAATTGCACTAACTACCCTCTGCTACCAAGCACTTATAATGCACTATGCTCCCAGGTAGATGCTGCCCAGTATGGTTGATGAAATAACCCCCAAGACCCACACGGTGTGGGGGAGGTCCATATCCAGCAGTGGACTGACCAAAGTATTGCACATGTGCAAAGTATACACCCACCTTGTGTTCACATCGTTGGTCAACTGGCAATTTCATCCACTCACTGTCGTCCGCCATGGCTGCATCCAAGGATCACCTTAACCCGCGTGGAATTTTGGCCTTTCTCTCCTGCCGACAACTGTAAAAAGGTACCGACCAGGTAAATGTACAACAACAGCACGGACATTTTGGCAATGGTGCAGCCGTCAAGGGTGTGTCGTATCGGAAATAATTACCGCTCCCCCATTCCCGACAGACCCGGTTGTGCGCGCACACAGCACGCATCAGTCACTGCATGCAATTTCACCTATTAAATTGCTCCAAGCAATTTTCAACACTGCTGTTGACAGTTTTTAATTATAAGCAACTTTTTATTCCAGACAGTCAACATTCAGCCGGGCGAGGCGCTACTTACACAATACGCCCCAGGGGCCAGTTGCATAAAATACCATAGGGGACACATTATTCCCTATGGTATCTGTGCTGTGTGTTCAGATTATCCTTCCCCGTACCTCCGCATAGCACGGTTGGCTACGTATGGTGCTAAATACGTTCAACGTACAGTACATTTCCATTGGTGGATACCTTAATGCTGCGTTCAGAGGAAAATAAATGTCAAGGCGTTTTATGCAACTGCTAACAGGAAACTCGACACTTGAATAGCTCTCGTTCCTGAATGAAGGCTTTCACACACCGTGTCCGTGACGAGGGGTTGTTTGACCTTACTTCACAAAGCGAGTTATTGCGAATTGATGAAGTGGAGCGAGGCCCAGAACCATTTCCGATATCATACGCCACTGACATACAGAGGCTCGCGAATCGAACTTAGGTGGTCGAGTTTTCAGCGCAAGTGCGCTCACCGCAGCATGATTGAAATATATCCCGTAAGAATGTAAACATCAACGTAACCGGGCGTTGTTGCTCTCTGTTTGACCATACTTCACCCACAGTGATCACTGCCGGTTGTTGAAGGTGGTGGGGTTGGTTGAGGGGGACGGGACCAAGTGACAGCGACCACTCGCGAGCAGCGACTGCGAATGGTAACCCGGAGGGGCGCGTTCATAGCGCAGTGCGCAATCATCAACCAAAAAGTATAATGCAGTCCGAACGTAAAACGTTCAGAGTAAATTCTACGCTGCTCGCAAAGGAAATCGTAACGGGAGGCAGCTGTGCGCCCTAGTGCGACTCTCAACACGGGAGCACAAACACGCCGCCGCGTTCGTTGTTAGTAACGCGGCGAAGCCGTGGCCGGCCCTCGACGCTTCTGGCGAGGTGGTGGTGGTGTTGGGGAGAAATGCATCGCGGCAGCGCGCTTTGTCCGCGAGTCGACCGCTCGCACCGAGGGCGTCGCGCTCGGGACAATGCAACGCAATCCCGACGTGAAGGGCACAAATGACGAGTGTGTTACATTTAGACGAGAGACGAGAACTCGCCACGCACAGCGCGGGCGCTAGGCCGACGCAACGCGCGGCCTAGGGCCCGCGGAGAGGCGCTCGCCTAGCCTAGATGCCTCCCCCACCCACCCCCTTCACCGCCACTACCGCTCCCAACTCACCCGAAGCTTGCGCTGCGTCGTTACAATGTAAAGAAAATGACAATCTTCGGGGATGCGAAGGTTATGCGATTAAATCATTTTTTTCGCGGTTTTAACAACAACAAAAAAATCACCAACGAGAGAGCGGTGGAGGCGCCTTGCGATGCGGAGCGGTTTGAATAGCGACGTCACCCGCCACTGGGCGAAGAAACGCGACGCTGATTGGTCGGCGGCGACGGATACGTTGGGGGCCCCGCCGCGCTAAGCGCGGCACCGATTGGTCGGAATGTGATAACAATGCGATTTAAAAAATTGTGAACTCCGCCCACATCAACCAACCCCCACAACCCTCCCACCCCCACCACCCCCAAACCCCCCACCCACAACCCCCACAACCCTTCACCCCCCACATCCCCCCCACCACCCCCCACCACCCCACAACCCCCCACCACACCTCCCCCCCTTCCTTGTGTTTCTACTTGGGAGTTTAGTGTTGAACAGCGTGGCAGTGGAATTCCTCCAAACCTGGGGGTTGTTGAATTTTTATTTAAAGCTTTCGTGACTGCAGGGATTCATATTCTTGGTTCTTTGGGTAAAGTCACGTAGAAGGGAAACAATAAAAATGTATTGTTTTATATTTTTATTATTTTATTGTTTCCCTTCTACGTGACTTTACCGAAAGAACCAAGAATATTGGGGGTTAAATTTTGATTTAAAGCTTTCGTGACTGCAGTAATTCATATTCTTAGTTTTTTCGGTAAAGTCACGTTGAAGAGAAACAACAAAATAACAAAATATATATAAAACAATAAAAATTCTCACGACGTTTCGACCATAACTCAAACGGTCATCTTCAGGTGTGTCGGTTTGCATAAATTTATTTGTAAACGGCGCATTTATTTATATATTAAAAAAAAAAGACGTTAGCGTCACGCGCAGCGATTTGGCAGTTTACCCAGGACTAGTCCATCTATATTTTGAAAAGAGGAGGGGGGAGACGAAATTTTAAAATGTATGCTGTCTGAAAGCCAATGTAAGCGTGAACAATCAATTAAGAACTGACAATTTCAACCGAGAAGATGGATTCTATCTTAGCAATCATTGGAAAGATTTGATAAACCATTTCAGTTCTTAATTGATTGTTCACGCTTACATTGGCTTTCAGACAGCATACATTTTAAAATTTCGCCCCCCCCCCTCCTCTTTTCAAAATATAGATGGACTAGTCCTGGGTAAACTGCCAAATCGCTGCGCGTGACGCTAACGTTTTTTTTAAATATATAAATAAATGCGCCGTTTAAAAATAAATTTATGCAAACCGACACACCTGAAGATGACCGTTTCAGTTATGGTCGAAACGTCGTGAGAATTTTTTATTGTTTTATATATATTTTGTTATTTTGTTGTTTCTCTTCAACGTGACTTTACCGAAAAAACTAAGAATATAAATATTGGGGGTTGTTGGTTTTTATGCAGCGTGTTATGCGACGCGTTATTTTTGTATTTTTTTTGGGGCGCGCATTGCATCTCGTTCGCAATTGTAACCCGAGTCTCACGCGTGCGATGCACTTGTGGTGGTGGTGTTGGTGGTATTCACAAAGTCACTTTAAGATGTTTTTCTTGTTCGTGTTTTTGTTTTTTGTTTGTTGTGGTTGCACCCGATTCAAGAGCCGAATGGCTCACAGGGCTATACAAAAATAAATAAACTGAAACCAAAGAGTATGAAACTGAATTCAGTTGCGTTGTTTATTCGTGACCTAATCAGAATACTGTACTATGTATTTATATTGGAGGAATCTGATGAGCTATACAGGACTTTTTTTTTTCAGACATGTCCAGTCGGGGCACGGGGTCAGAACGCTACAACAACAATACAAAAAACGACAGGAGTGCAGAGTATATTAAAGGTTAACAAATCACTGAAGCAAATATATATAAAAGGGGAATTTGTGAATGTGTGTCTGTTCAAAATGTTTAGCATACTTCCCGACATGCGACAAACTTTAAATTTGGCATGTGGGTACTTTCCAGACTGTACACCATGCAAAACGTATACAAATATACTTTTTTTGGGGGGGGGGGGGGCGCAATAATGTATATATATTGCACAGCAACTAAGCTGTGACGTCACATCTGTGATATCACCCGCATGCGGAAGCGCCGCGCAGTGTGCCTGCTGACGTCACACATCCCCCTCCTCCAACCCTCCGCGAGTAAAGTGCCATACAAATGTGTTGCAGGTCTCAGGCGTTCTTCGTGCAGTATTGGTTTATTATTTCAGTCGTTTACTGCCGTACGCACCCTGAAAGTTGTGTGTGTCTGCAGCAAGCGCGTGTATGTGTACCTATGGACGCGTGTGTGTGTGTGGGGGGAGCGGTAGTGTAGTGGTTAGCGCGCTGCGCTATTGAACCCAGCGATAGCACGGCCACCACCGGTGACGATTATTGAAGATTATTTGAACCGGTCCTGGGCCTCCCCTAGGTAGACTCAGCCTCAAACAAGTAACTGGTGTGGTGTGTGAACATCGCCACTGGGGAGACAAGAGGTGGCCGAGCGTGGTGGATCCAAGTCCCGGGTGAAGCCGGGTAGTAAAGCTAGTAGTATAAAATGAAACAACGCGTGATAAGGAAAACACATTTATTACAAAAGGCCGACAACACTTTATTAAATAGAAGACCACAGAACTTGCTGCTGCTTTCCCGCTTGTCTGTGCGATTCCTCCTGTTTTCTCTCGTTTCGAGAGTGAGCGAATACTGTGTGCGCTTCCTCTATGAGATGTGTTAATTTGCAGCTTGCAGAAGTAAATGTCAGAGCACTCCTATTGAGGATCTCTTCACGTGCGTCCTTATTCGGGCGCTGAAACTCCCCACGCTAAAATGTCGTCATATTGAGTGATCGACCCAAGATTAAATGCGATGCGTTGCATTTTTGTGCAATCAGTCTATACAGGCTATACAGAATTGGGGAGTTGAACCCGGTCACTCTGACCTCAAAGCCACCACCAGTCCACCTCTTATTTCTATATCCTTCACCTCTATGTATGAATGTTGACCTTATTTTGCACCGTACGTAGCCAGCCTTGGTAATTTCACTCACACGGTCATTGCAATAATACGTAATTTAAGATTCATTATGTAAACTTTTGAGTCAGATCACTGAAATAAAATGTGTCGTAAACCCTCCTCCACCCGGCAATGCCAATTAATAAAGTTTGCATGTGAAAAAGCGCGTCAATTTATAACTGATTCAGCACACCGGTGAACTGTAGAGACATCTCACAACATTGAAATGTGTACGACGTTTTGCTGGTAGCTAGAACCAGCATCAACAGGCAGCAGCCATAACTGTTCAAATGTTTTCCAGCGTTGGGCCTTAAATAGGGGACGTGATGCCATCAATGTTAGCTCTGGTAATATAAAGGTGAATACAGTATATACTCACGTAGTAAAACTGATTAGTCATAGGTAAGTCTTTGTACTGGATGGTTGTTAGATTATAATAAATGTTAAATATGCTCATATCAGGTACACGTTTACATACTAATTGGTTAGTAATGGTATAATGATGCTGTTATGGTTTAAATTAATGTAAATACTTTTTTTTATTCAGGTTTGTCATCTGATTGTTTAATGATGCGTTTCCAAGCTGCACCCAGCTCGGTTAAAATACTGGATTATTTTCTGTCAATTCCAATATATTTTTAAAATAGTCTTGGCCAATAGTAATTAGTTTTGCATATAACATCAATATTATCAAAATCAATTGAACGTCCTTGGTTTGGCAGACGTGTTCCGTAGCTACCGGCAATTGTGTTTGTGAGAATGTGATGTACCTCTGATATTCTTTTATTCTTGTACATATCTTCAGTCCAACATAGCATTTGCCACAAGTTCAAGTACTCCGTTAAACTACTTGTAGTTTGAGTAAAGTTAATCCTTGGGACCAGTCCAGGTCAAGATTTCTATTGTGTACTGTGCAAAATGTCACTCAGATTTAGTTTCTCCAAAAAACTAGCCAAATTATCAATGACTCCTGGAATAACCGGCAGTTTGTTATTGTTGCATTCTCACTTTTCTTTTTTCTTACCAGATTTGTTTTTCACACTCAGTACTCTGTTGAATAATTTCATCCATTCAATTGTAGCACTTTTTGCCATGTTTAATCTCACTCCTCTGGTCTGACATAGTTTTTGCCCAAGATATGAGCGTCTGCGGATGAGAGAGCATTTTTGTTGCGGGTGATGGTGATGTGTGCGTGCATTCAAAGGCATCGGTGTGGATTTTTTTTATGAACGCTGTCTGTTATGTTTATATTGGGGCCATGGCCAAGCAGAACATCTAGATTTAGGAGGCTGTTTGCCTTCTCAAAACTGGTCAGAATGCAATTCAGGTTAAGTTTAACAGCTTTAATAAATTGACCGGTGTGCTGAACTCATAAAGAATTGGCATGTTTTGTTTACGTGACAAACCTAACTTATCGGCTGTGTCGGGTTGTGGCGGGTTTAACGACACATTTATATTTACGCGATCTAATCCAAAAACGTTTTTATGGAGCTACAAATGTGATGCTGTGTATTTTGTTACGTCTAATGTTCATTTATATGTAGCAGAACCAATGATTGTGTTTTTGGTCTTCATGGGATACCGATTTTGAGAATCTTTGGCCAACCGAAAAGTATTGGTGGTTTTGATGCCCTTGGTTTAAACAAATATGGTTCCTCCTTGTGAATTTATGATTTTCAATTATTTCTGTTGCCTTAAGTTCCAATGTATTGGTCGGGTCTCATTTAATGTTAAGGTAGGTACCCTTGGTCAGTAAATATCTTATTTTGTTGTCATAAACTACAAGGAACATCACAACTGTGGATCAGCCTTTTGTCTGCAGCTAATATTACAATGTCTGTGTTTGATGCCAATTTTATGAAAGCGTTTTCCTCAGTCAAGGTAATATTTGTTTTTGGTAATTGACTGCCCTCACCATCAACTCACACTAACCAGTGCGAAGTACATAAAAAACCTCATGACCGACATAGCATAAGGCCTTCATCCAGCAGTGGATTGATAAACGGCTGTAATTATATACATTTACATCATGGGACCTCCTTTGCCAGTACTAAAATATGAGAAGAGGTTTCCCCCTTTTTTCTGGCAACAAAACAGGTGTTAAGATGTTAAAACACCAAACTGAAACCTTTTACAAGGAATCATGTCTGCA